TACTATCCGTATATCACCAGAGGACGCGCCGAAGGCCACCTGGGTGTTGCCTCTTTAACCCGGGTTGTAGGAATTTAGGGGGTACTTAGGTACCTACCTAAGTGGCCGAATCACTGGAACGCGGCGACCGACGGCGCTAAAACTTGACGTATCCCACTGGAATTCATTGACGAGTTCAAGCTGCCAAGTTCCCAACCATGATGCCCTTTTTACCAGTTACTAAGGTAGGCTTCAACGCCACACTTGGTTCAATCTTGCCTCCCTGGGCAACTTCCCATCCCTCATCTATCCGAAACCTCAATGCCGCGCTGTGCATTCGATGCTTATTGTCGTCTGTCCAGTGCAGCTTTCGTCTTGCAAGCCATCACACGCCCCCTTGTCAAAATTTAAGGATATCTACAATCTACCTCGCCGCCAGCATCGTCAATTGTCAACGTTACCCGGCTGCTTTCCTTTCTTCGCGCTTCTCCGTCAACGATTTGCAAGCACGACGCGGCGATTGATGAAAACATGAACTTCGGCACACACCCCTCTGCAAGTTACATCTTTGTCGCACAGCGCAGCGATGGCCTGTGAAGCAAGCACATCTGCGGCCTGGCCGCCTGCACGCCCAACCAAACGCGGTGTACGCTCCCCATTTCCTTTCTGGTGCCAGCGACGTCGTCGCCTGGTGCGCATGACGAGGTAGAATCTAACGAATCTCGGCGCTAGAAAATGCGAAATGGGACCTTCATCATTCCCAGCACCGGAGAGCGATCACGAAAGCAGTTTACACTGCGCACCTCGGCGACAGCCAACGCCCGCGCCAGCATCATAGACCGATACGCCCAAGCCGAGACGATATGCGAACAGTGCGCCGCTGCGGTTGACGATGGCAAGTCCAGAGTGCTCGCCTTCTGGCACTGGCTTTGCTCCGACCAGGGTCACCAGGTTCTCAAGTGCACCTTTGCCTATGTGCTGGGTAGCCTAGCCACCTTTTCGCCCTTTCTCTCCGGCTTCCTCGGCGACCGCGACGGGAAGCACATTGTCGCGACGTTGACCGTCTTCTTCCACCCTGCGCGCACCACCGGATCCATGATTGAGGCCATTCTGGTGGCGATAGCCGCCGTCATATACGCAAATGTAGTGTGCGTGCTCAGCATGGTTGTAGCCGTGTTTTCACGGAAGCAGCTAGACTCGGTAGCTCCAGCTCATGCCATCATTCTTCTCATGGCGGTGGGTGGTGGACTTGGCTTCATCGCCTGGGTCAAGCAGCGGTTGGGCCAGCCACTGGTCAACGTTGCTGCGACGTTGGCTTCCATCGCAATCATATCCATGGTTACAAAGGACGACTCGATACAGTACGGTTACTTTTCCAATGACCGGATTGTTCAAGTACTCAAGATGCTTCTCATTGGAATCACCTTTAGCGCGGCAGTAAATATATTGGTCTGGCCAGTCGCAGCGCGGCAAGTTCTGCGCAAGTCCATCATTACTGCATCCTCCACTCTGAGTGACCGACTATCCTTTGTCACTAGAGGATTCCTCATTGGCTCCGAAGAAGAGGTTAATTCCCCCGAATATCACCGTGTTTCCAAGTCGTACACGGCTGCCTATGGCTTGATGACGATAACGCTGCGCGAAGCCAAGCTGGAATACTATGTGCTCGGCCAGGAACGGATATACCAATACGATAAAAGACTTGTCAAGTCTCTTGATTCGGTTTCGCAGGCTATCGGCGGCTTACGGAGTGCCTTGAATACACAGTTCACCCTCCTCAGGGAGGGTGTCGCAGCCTTGACTGATAACCAAGAAATAACGACAGCTGACGGTGCCCTGCTCTCATCCAAAACATCTGGCCGAGCATCCACGCTCATGGACGTGGTAGAGCGGCTCTCTGTCATTGAAGAGGATGACGAGCCGCGGAGTACCCCAAACTCCCGAGCTGATCCCGCTCAGGGCCAGATACCAATTTTTCGAGTGCCCTCCGACATTTTTGCGCTTTTCATGGCCTTGCTAGGACCATCGATGAAATCCTTAGCCTATACATTATCCGAAATATTGCGCGAGTCTCCTTTTGGAAAAGACATAAAGACTGACATAGCTGTGTCAGATCAGCTGCGAGAATCGCTGCGAGACGCCCTGAGCCTGTACAATTCGGCACGAAGTAGTGCTCTGCAGGAGGTCTACAAGAGTATGGAACTGGGACGTGCCCGTTCCGAGGCTATCCGGGCAGATATTGAAGAAGTCGCTGCCGCCTGTGGGCACTTTTCCTTCAGCCTGCTTGCTGTAGCGGAAGCCATGGACTCATACCTGGACGTTCTGGAAGATCTCAAATACTCGACCGAAACTCTTGACAGAACCTGGAACTGGGCCAAATTTTGGCGGTACAGGTGGAATGCGAAAGATGTGGTTACCGAAGATCCGGAGCGGGAGCCCCTGCTCACTAGAACCCAGTCTGGCATACGCCGATCTGCCCTGCCCAAGGGGATTCCTAATTCTATGAAGAAGCAGCGTGACAACTACCACTGGGACGCGTCCTCGCAATCCAGCAGCTGGACTAGGAGTTTCTCGCAGCTGATTCTGAATGTGATGCGATTTTTATCGCGAGAAGACATTGTCTTTGGTATCAAAATCGCTATTGGTGCCGTTCTTTGGGCCATGTTTGCCTTTATCCCCGCTACGCGTCCTGTATATCAGAAATGGAGAGGCGAATGGGGACTGCTGTCTTATATGGTCGTCGTCGGCATGACGAACGGAGCATCCAACACGACTGGCCTCTCACGACTACTCGGTACGCTGATTGGCGCGGTTTGTGCTTGCGCCGCCTGGCTTCTCAGTTTTGGTAACGCCTACGCCCTTGCGATTTTCGGCTTCTTCATGGCCCTGGGAAACTTTTACATGATTCTCATCGTTAAGAACGGACCGCTTGGCCGAATCTCACTGCTGGCGTACAATGTCATTGTGCTTTATGCTTACAGCCTCTCGCAGCGAGACGACGACGACGACGACGAAGGCGGCAAGAATCCTCTCATCTTTGACATTGCATACCACAGAGTCATTGCCGTGACGCTGGGTATAGTCTGGGGCATGCTCTTTTGTCGCATGCTGTGGCCCATCTCCGGGCGCGCCAAGTTCCGTGAGGGCCTCGCCGTGCTCTACCTGCAGCTGGGCCTCATCTGGAAGCGCGGTCCGCTCACCATTCTCGTCGAGAGCGACAGCAAGCGCGACTATATGGACGCCAAGGAGCAGGCCGCCCTGCAGCGCTACGCCTTCAAGCTCGAGACGCTCCGCGCGTCGGCCAAGTCGGAGTTTGAGCTGCGCGGTCCGTTCCCTAACAAAGCGTACAGCCGCGTCCTGCACATTACGAAGCATATTCTTGACAGCTTCTACGCCATGCGCTTGATTAGCGAGCACCGAGGGTCGCTGTCGGCCGGCGAGCGCGCCCTGCTTGACTTCACCGCTGCTGAGCGCATTCTGCTGTGCCAGCGTATCAGCCACGTCTTTCAGGTTCTTGCGTCCTGCATCATGCTCGAGTACCCGCTCACCGACGTCATCCCGACTATTGAGAGCAACAAGGACCGCTTGCTAAGCAAGATTTACCAGTTTCGCCTCGATCACTTTGCCGCGCAGCAGGAGCAGCAGCAGGAGCAGCAGCAGGAGCAGCAGCAGGAGCCGGCCAGTGGCAACGGAAAAGCCACGGCGGCGGTGCCGGTGCCGGAGTCGGTGGCCAAAGCACGAAGGGGCAGCACCAGCGGCGCGACGCCCGCCCAACTCAGCGTCGAAGTGGAGGAAAAGGACTACGCGCTCGTGTACGCCTACATTCTCGTCACGGCCCAGGTGGCCGCGGACTTGCAAAAGGTGCGTGAGGAGATTGAAAACCTCTTTGGTGTGCTGCATCAAAACGACATGTTGCTGGAATGATGAAGCGAAATCAGAAGCCATTGCCAGCTAGTGTTCTGTATTACCATCCTGTATCAACTATCTTGGCGTCGAACAAAACTTGTAGCTGCTGGATGGGACTTATTGTATTATAAAAAGCAAGCAAGCCATGTTTCTTTTATACCCACACAAATTGACTCGAACCATTATGCATCTATTGCAGCGTTGATATAGCCATGTATGTCACCCTCCCGAGAACTATGCCTGCGTGATCATTCTTCATTACATCATCGCCATTGCGGCCCCTCAATGCAGCCTCATCACCACCCTCCTTGCCTCTACGGCTCTCCTCTAAAACGTGCACTCGCGCAACCGACCGAGCTTGCCCAGCTCGTACTCGATCCAGCGGCCGACACCTTTGCGACCGGGCACCAGCACGGTGCCCGGGTTCATGACGTGGCAGCCCTCGTACGCGACGCAAAACGGCGGTGCCGAGGCGTCGACGAGCACCAATGCCGTCGGCAGCGGATACAGGTGCAGCGCCGACACAAAGTCCCAGTGGACGGGACGGATCGATGTGCGGAATGGCGACAGGTGGCCCTGGTCGAGGATCGTCTTGACGAGCTTTTCCGCCGAGTGCGCGTCCTGCGGCAGCGAAACCGTCGTCGTCGTAGTAGTCACGGCAGGTTCTTCCTGGTCAGGCCGCGGCGGCGGCGGCGACGCGGCATCGTCGTCATTATCCACGTCCATGGTGTCCGCCGTCTGAGTCGCGGGGGCAGCACCGCCGCCCGCCTTCTTTCGTAACCGCACCGAGGTGCGGCGCAGACGCGCTGAAATGTCGTCGCGGAAGAGCACAATCTCGTGGTTCGGCCCAAAGAGGCTAAGACGGCTCGGGTTTGATGCCCAGACGGCGCTGCCCGGGACGCCGCGCGTGGAAGTGCCGGCCTCGGCGTTGGCCGCGGCAAACGCCCTGCGGATGCGCGACGTGAACATGTCGGGCACAGGCTTGCGCGGCAGCGGAACCGACGCGCCGGCCGTGAACGACGAGACCCAGCCGTCGTTGTCGCCGGGCAAAAAGACAAACGTCGAGGCCCGAAGCAGCGTCGGGAATTCGGCGAGGGCCGACGCCAGCGCGTCAAAATACTCTTTGTACTCGATGCTACCCCCACTGCCGCCCCGCGCCAGGACGGCCTGCTGCGTAAAGTTTCCGGCGAGGACAAAGGTGACGGGCGCGCTACCCTCGGGCTCGGCGGCGTAGAGGGCGAGAATCTTGCGCAGCGCCTGCAGCGCCCGCGGCTGGTCCAGGGTGAGCTCGCCAATCACGACGACACGCCCTCGGGACGGGCCTACCGGGTCGGCGTCTTCGTCTAGCGACGAAGGCGCCGCGGGCGCAGCGAGCAGGCGGCGCTCAAGGCGGCGCATCTTGGGGCCCACGGCGCGCTCACTGCCCACGCCGAGAAAGTCGATCCAGCCGAAGCCGCCTCCTATCGTGTGGTCTGGGGCTTCGTCGGGGCCTGTTATCCCGAGCGTTGCTTTGCGCTTCTCACATGGGGGCTGCCCGATCAAGAAGCCTTTGAAACGGCCACCCAGTGTACCTCCGACACCGTTGCTGCCGCTGAGGCCGTTGCCGATGGACTTTTCCACCTCTTCGTACACGCCGTCCACGAGAACAATCATGCCCGGGCAGAACCAGGCCGAGTCATCAGGGACGGCGACGGCTTGCTTGATTTCCAGAGCAATGGTGCCTGTCAGGTCACTGATGGCCAGCTCACCGGTAGGTAGGATGTTGAGTTGCCCGAGAAGCATGTGGTTGCTGCCGTGACGCCCGAGCATATTCGCTATGGGTGTTATTTTTAAATTTTGGGGGTTCGAGGATGTTCTTTGGAGTGCGCGGGATCGGGAAGAGGAAACGGTCGAGGTTTGAAAGGATTCGTTTCGAAGCAGTCGTTGGTGAATGACATGGTATCGGCTGCGAAAGGCTGCAGTTTTGTGTGAGGCTTGTGGGAGGAGTGAGGGTTTTGTCGTGTCCCTGAAGATGTTAGCTCGTATCGTGGTCCCCATGTCAAGTAGTATGATTACCTCTCAAAGTGCTTCTTTTCAACGTTATAAAACAGTCGTGGTTGCTCGAAAGCATCAATAATTTGTAGCCACCCGCGAGGGTCATTGGTCTCGTCTTCCTCTTCCTCTCCCTCCTGCACGCCGAGTCCGGACAAGCCGAAGCTGGCATTACTATCCTCTCTTATAGGCCCCGTTGGACGCAAACCAAGTCGGGTATTGAATGAGTCGCCGGGGTTGATATCAAGCATGCTGTCGCCGCGGGGCAGTCCTCTTCCTGGCCCAACGATTTTGCCACCGCTCATGTTCCCTTCTATTGTTTTTAGGATCTCGTGGAGCTCTTTACTTGTCCCGTCTACAATGGCGCCGCCATTGCGATTCTTCCAGCTTCTAGCGGCCTCCTCAAGCACCCTCTCTGCAAGCCCGTCTTCGCGCCATCCCGATCCGCAGTGTCTGCCGATGAAGGAGGCAAGTTCTTGCAGCGCGGAGGATGTGAGGGTCAGAGAATGTTTCTTGGTAAACGTTCGAAAGGCAAGAGGTCGTAATGTCGCAGGTGGGAGGATAATAGGAAGTATGCCGGCTTTGGAAGCATTGACGTTGAACGGCTTCAATGGGTGCACTGGGGTTGCAAATGACGGCGACGACGAGGGAAGCGCTGAAGAGGGTATATGGATATTTCTCCGACGAAATATAGGCGCTGGTGTTTTATCCATTCTCGCGACAGAATTTCGGCTCGGAGACTTCAAAGATTCGTACAAAGATGAATTAATGCGGCAAAGTCTGCTCCGTAACTAGAGCAAGGCTCTTAAACGGTCTGGCTACCTAGCTGGTGGACGCGCCGAGCTGCCAAGCACCTACCGCGTCGACGCGTCTGGGGTCTAATTGATTTCTGATTGATGCATAACCCGCTTTTGTGGGGTCAACGGCCAAATCGCTGTGTGAGCATCATGGTGAGCTCATGAGGCCGATCTTTCGATGAGTATATAAATGCGACACTGGGAATTTGCGACCACAATTATCCTCCATACAGCGTCGAAATGTTTGCGCTACGATATCGAGCCCCGTTGCGCACTCTGGCGTCGCTCAGGCGCACGGTGTCAACTCTTCCAGATAACAAACACATTGTGAGCCTACTCTGTTCCGGGTCTCTGCGCAATGTTAACAAAATCGTAGCGCGTCTTTAAAGACCCATCGTCAACCTCGAGTATTTTAACATATCTGGAGAGCGATCCTCCATCAAAGCGTCTGGCCATTGGCACGACAACAGAAATGCCGCCCACACCTCGGAGCTTCACCGAGAATAAGCATTTTCTCAAGATCCTAGATGAGGTGCTCCGCGAATACGGTCATCTCGACGAGGATGTCACCAGCCAGGCTCGAGCGCTCGCAACGCCTCCGAACTTCCAGTTCAGCCCTGGAGGCGGCAACCCACGTCGCAAGGGCGCACGTTCTGAACCGCAAGGCGCGAGTGGGCAGGGCGGCGCCGGAGGAGCAGGCATTGGATCGTTTGTTCATCTTGGTGACCGCAGACACCCGCCTGAGTTTGGGAGAATCGCTTGGCCGGAGGACATCCTAGGAAGTGTCGAGGTCGACGACTCGGGTAAGATCTCCGGCAAACTAGAGCCGAGCGGCACTTATCGTCCGGTGACGAATGACGGAATGTAAGTTTAGTCCTTGTCGACTTTCGTGACACCGTTGCTGACAGACAAGCTTGGGCTTGACCCCATTTATCCGAGAGAAGTTGATAGAGCGCTTGAAGAAGGAGGAGGCGAGTGAGCAGGGGAAGTGACTCTGACGATTCAGTCTGCAAGTGTATTAATTGATATAGAGTAAACTATAGGAGATTTACCCTGTAAAACAGAGCTTACCGAGACCTTTCGCATCACACATGTGACAAGAAGTCGATCGCTTGTTAAAGATTTCTCAGGCGCGAGCGAGAAATCCATGAAGCTGGTCAGGCTTCGCTTGGTAATGTCTTATTTCGGTATATATTAACGGCGCTGATTAGTTGGCGGCTCGTCACATCATGTCATAGCTCGTCTTTGTTATCGTCTGCTTTACTTTTCGGTGACCTTTCTTTAGAGCTCGCCACCCAAATTTGCTGGCTGCTAAGGTTTTTCCAGGTTCCTATGTTCTCTCAAACCCGAGTCACGATTGCGGTTGGTCCTACTAGGATCGCAGTTGTTACATGTATGGTATTTCAGCTTGGGAGCTCGAAGAAATTTATCATTGTTCTTCTTGCTCGTTTTCGTACATAATTTTCAGCAGCCGCTCTTCGTCGTTGATCTCTCCATCAAGCGCGCCGGACGGGCCTGGGCGGCGAAAGAACATGCCTTCAAAGTTCGGGGGATAGTAGCCGGCGTATTCCCAATCAATAATGGCATTGACTTTCAAGGTTTCTGGGTCTACAATGACATTATGCGTGGATAGGTCGTTGTGGCAGAAAACCAAGTCTTTGGCAATTCTGGGCCGCATCACCCACTGTACACGGACAGGGTGCTTCAGCACCCGATATGGCGGGATAACCTACCGATGTTAGTCAGTGGAAGAACAAAAAACAAAGAAGGACAAAGTGCAGGCGAGGCGCCTACCAGTCCAGAAGGCCCCCCCCACGCGTCAGACGAGAGGCTTCGAAGTGTTTCAAGGTAGCCTTCTATTTCCGCCTCGACAACTTTACGCTCTTTCGGTTTTAGATCAGCCATAGTAACTCCCTCAATATACTCGGTAACTAGACAAATAGCTCCGTCATCTTCGAAGCAGACATGCACCCTTGGCACGGGTATGTCTGTGTTTTTGGCGATGAATCGCAGGGCTGCCGCCTCATTTAACAGACGTTCATTGCCAAGTCTGGGAATGCACAGTAAGCCTCGAAAAGGGCTATGTTGCCATTCGTGAGGTCGTAAGCTGCGCTTGACGAACGAGCCATCGGCATGGAAATACTTTCGCTCTGTTGTAATCGTGATGCAGTCCTTTTCCCGTTTAGCATTTAGCATGGCGTTTGTGACCGGTGACATTGTCGTGGAGATTCAGCTTCACTCCGTCAGTTGGCGAGTCAACGATTTTGGACTGCCTTGACGATGATGTCGAACAATTGCAAGGGGGTTCTCATTATAATTACGTTTTTAAATACAATGCGACAAGCGGGGTAGAATTTAACAAAATCTGATCCGTGGCAGAGGAGCCTCCCGCCACGCTTAATTGTCTATTGTAGGCAAAGTGGTGCGCATCCGGACCACCGTATGTATACTGGCGCTATCAACGGGCTGATTTTACAAGGACTGCTAATCCGAAATCGGTGTCGAATGACTACGTTCAGCGGGAAGTTGAATCCCGAACCAACATCAAATCAACTATGTCTGTAGCTGGGCAGAGTCCTGCTGTTCCAACGTTGGCCAGGACCTTGTGTCTGCCTTTACATTCTTTCGTTGCCACCAGGTGTAGAACCCGTTGGCCAGCCCCGCGCCACGATGAGATTCTATAATGCAGTAAAGATTTTGCAGATGAAAAAAATATGGAGATCAAAGAGAAAAGAGTATATTTTCGTAATAATTGCCCCATCATCTTTACTTTTTGATATGTATCATGCATGCGAGAAGTCCTGTGTAGGGTGGGTGATTGGTGACGTAGCTGAGAATAATATGGCATAAGGTACGTACCAGCACCTAGGGACTAGGTACCTAACTAAATAGTGGCGGAGGAGTGCTTGAGAGAGCCCCTGTGGTAGGTTTGCTGTCAACATGTGTATAGACCGACTCCTGATGAAAATTTCATCTGGAAAACACGTTGCAGTGTCCAGAGATATGATAGACGAGGTTAGAATCATCAGAAGATGGTCTATACACGTGTTGGCAGAAAACTCATCTCAGGCACTCCCCATGCGTACCAAGCAGGTAATGTATCGGTAATCATCAATCAGCACAGCGCCTTTGCAGACACCAAAATCCGCCTAATCCCAGTGCAGTCAGTGGCCCAGCAGTGGCCCGGCAGTGCCAGCAGGCCCAGCACCACATACCCGCCCAGCTCTCCCACCGAGATTCCCCAGCAATTACTACAACCCCGCCTCAACCTCTCTCCAGCTTATTAGCTCGAGCTTGCCTTGGCTCCCCAAATGTCCCCGTTGCCGCCCTTCTCCACGACACAACACATACCTATCTCAAAATCTCACGATATCTGCGGTGCCGTCCACCGCTGCGAACCTGGCCGCCTCCCCCTCGTCCGCTCGGAATTCCTATCAGCATGGCTCACCGAGGCTTTGATGACGAGGAACTCACCATTTCGCTCTCGTCGACGCACGTCCGTCGGCAGCAGCACCAACCCCACCATCACCATGATGCCGACCGACCGCCCAAGCCAGCATCGCAGACTGTCGGTGCTCCCCCCAAGGAAAAGACAAAGACGGAGCAACGTATCGGTGCCTACAAGGTGATTCGCACGCTGGGCGAAGGCTCGTTTGGTAAGGTCAGACTAGCCACCCACATCGGCACCGGCCAACAGGTCGCTCTCAAGATTATCGCCCGCAAGAAGCTCATCAGTCGTGATATGGTGGGCCGCGTCGAGCGCGAAATTGAGTACCTACAGCTACTACGACATCCTCATATCATCAAATTGTAAGTCCCAAAAACATCACCGGCCTTCCGCCGCACGCTAATGTTCAATCTGCACAGATACACCGTCATCAAAACACAAACCGAAATCATCATGGTCCTCGAATACGCCGGCGGCGAATTGTTCGACTACATTGTACAAAACGGCCGGATGAAGGAAGCTGAAGCCCGACGTTTCTTCCAACAAATGCTTTGCGCCGTCGAGTACTGTCATCGCCACAAGATTGTTCACCGCGATCTCAAGCCCGAGAACCTGCTCCTTGACGAAAACCTCAATGTCAAGATTGCCGATTTCGGTTTGAGCAATATCATGACGGACGGAAACTTTCTCAAGACGTCTTGTGGCAGTCCCAACTATGCTGCACCAGAGGTCATTGGTGGAAAGCTCTACGCCGGCCCCGAAGTCGACGTCTGGAGTTGTGGTGTCATCCTCTACGTCCTGCTCGTCGGACGCCTGCCCTTTGACGATGAGCACATCCCCAGCCTCTTTGCCAAGATTGCGAGAGGAACATATAGCATGCCTCAGTGGATGCCAAGCGGTGCCGCCAACCTCATTAAGAAAATGCTAGTCGTGAATCCAGTTCAGCGTGCCACCATCGAGGACATCCGCCAGGATCCATGGTTCATGACTGATCTCCCCGCTTACCTGCAGCCTCCTGTCGAGGAATTCTCCAACACAGGCGTGGATCCCAACAGAGCGATCGAGAAGAGCGACATTGCTCCCAATGCCTCTGTCAAGGTGCAAGAACGTCTACACAACGAGGTGACCGACAAGATCAGCAAAACCATGGGGTATGGAAAGATGGATGTTGAAGAGGCTCTCCAATCAGAGGAGCCCTCTGCTATCAAAGATGCATACATGATTGTTCGCGAAAATAAAATGATGCAGGTAAGCCAACTCGTTGAAACGAGTGCCGCTGAGACGGCAGCAGGTAGTCCTGTCATGAGCATGTCTTCGGTACGATCGGGGATCCCACAACCGCCCCGCCCATACGTCAGCAAGGTTGGTATCCTGCCTTCGAGTATTGGCACATATCACAAAGATTACATGGAGCGTGCCAAATCAGGTAAACAAGGCACAGAATCCGACGAGACAGCTATCAATGACGAGCCGTCGTCGGCTCGCACCGATGCCGAAAAGGAAGAGGCCGCTCGACGTCTCAAGCCTCACTCGCGCTCGCAAAAACAGCTCGAGGAAGGAATCAAGAGACCACAGGGCATGACACCGATCAACCCGCCCAAGAAGACCAAGCCCATTCGCTGGCAATTCGGTATCCGGTCGCGCAATGCACCGTGGGAGGCACTGCTGTGCATCCACAAGGCTCTGTACAAGCTCGGCGCCGCTTATATACCAGACGAGGACTACGCGAGGCTGCGGCAACAAGAAGGAGAGACACCAGGTCAGGAAGAGCAACAAGATCCTTTGGACGGGCAGGACCCTACCCAGCGATACAAGCTCCCCGCCGATCCTTGGCACATTCGCGTGCGCTGGGAGACGAAGAGTACGTTGGTTCCTGAACATGATTTCCCCGCAGCCAAACACCAGTACTGACTTTCTCGTTGCAGTTATGCGCAGCACAAACGCCAGCACACCAACAGAGACCGAGGGGAAGGCTGAAACCAAGATGCCCGACACATACCAAGTGCTCGAGGGCAAGGCCGCGCAGAAGCGGGACTTTGTCGCGCTGCACCTGGGCATTCAAATCTACGAGATGGAGCAGGGCGTTTATCTTGTGGATTTCAAATGTTCGGGGTACGAGACGGCCGACGGCAAGCTGTTGGAGGAGAAGGAGGTAATGAGCCCATTTCCGTTCTTGGACATGGCGGCGCGCCTCATTATGCAGCTTGCGGAAGCAGATTAAACGAGCTATTTCCAACGTGTTGCGATTGATTCTCCTTTGCACTTTTTGTTTTCTCTTTCATTTCAAGGGCGCATGGCATGTACACTTTACATAGATTCGGGAGTTTTCTTTCCACTTTCTGTTGCTTTCCAAGTTGGAGACGATGCAATGGAGAATTCCAAGAGGCAGAATTGCTATAGTCAGTCTACAAGTCCAAAGTACAGTGGATGTAGAAGGGGTAGTTTCTTCTCTATTATGTACACTAGATACAAAACAGGTAAATTTGACATGACAAAGGGAAAATCGTCACCCCCAATAACACACCATGGTATTTGTGATGATGTTGCTAGCGGCACTGAAACTACCACTGGCCTTGCACCGAGATCTCGGCACCCCAAGGATAGACCAGTACCTAGTCAATGCCCGATAGCTCTGCCAACTGATATGAGCATCATCTGTCGTCGTTGTTCATTTTGTTTTGCAGCGAAACAAACGACAAGTCTGCCCGCAAAGAGAAACCCAAAGTACCAACGCAGCCCACCGCACAATAACATCAACACTCGTTGCCTGGTTATCAACTACAAATGATCTCAAGTAAATTAAAGAAAAAAAGATGTCATACCTCGAATCGCTGCCAGATTACTGTTCTGTTGCCTCAATTCCACAACTATGTATGTACGGTGGAGAGTATCCTCCGCTTTCGTCATACAAGCTTCAATCGTTACTGCCAGCGGAGCTCCAGTCGGCTTCTGGCCCCTCATTTTCACCAAAACACGCCACCTGCCTGACGCAGCCGCATTTCATCTCAATCTATCGCAAAATTTCCCCATTGCCAATTGCCTTGATCGGCATCATCCAGAACCAAAGTCTAAATCATGAGCTCGTTGCGACCATTACGCGGTGCCTGCCAATGCGGCCGTAATCGCTACTTGATTGTGGTCCCCGAGGACTCGGTCGATGAAGCTCAAGTGCTATTCAACCCAAGCACTACTCATGGTACGTCGCACCCTAGCAGTTTGCTCACACAGGGAGCGAATTTGGCGCCGATTAAATCGTCATCGCGACCGAGATTTTGATGATACCTCCGCGCCGCGCCCAACACATACACTACTAACCGACAGCGCCCAGAAGCCTCTCTCGCTACGCCGCTGCCGGCCTACATCAGAGTTCCCCTGACCTGGTACAAGAGCGCCACCTATGCTTACTACGACGACGAGACGCACGCGACGATCCGCCGCTCCTACACGCACCCAGACGAACAGGACTTTCGGCGCTACTTTTGCGGCTACTGCGGCACGCAGCTGTCGTACTGGTCCGAGAGCCCCGCCACCGAAGCCGAGTACATTCACCTGACACTCGGCAGCCTCTTGCGCCAGGACCTGCACGATCTGGAAGCGCTGGGTTTGATACCGGACGATACCGACTCGGACGAGTCCGCGCCGGCCGGGGATGCGGGCGACCAGGATGAGCCCAGTGAGCGCGAGGCCGCCGTTGTTAGGGAATCGTTTGGCGTGCCCTGGTTCGAGGAGCTCATCGAGGGTACTAGACTGGGAAAGTTGCGGCGCCGACACGGCGGGCACGAATCGCAGGATGGCCGCGTGCAGGTGGAATGGGAGATTATAGAGTACTCGGATGGCAGCGACATGGAAGACGTGGACATGCCGACGCCAGCCTCTGGAAAACGAAAACTAGACGAGAGGGGAGAGGAACAAGTCGAAACACAATGAAGGAGACAGACGAAATGTTAACTGCTGGAGTATGTACAGACAGGGGATGGCGCTGTTGGGTGACTGGGAGTTTTGGGGCGATGATTTGATCTTGAGGGTCGTGATTGAATATTGCCGTTGAAATAAATGTATCTTTGGGTTCGTAATTGAAGAGTGCCGTCCGAAAACTCCGATCCCGTCATTTTTAATGAAAACCAGTAAAACACAATAAAATAATGCGATTCCCTTGTTCAATTTAGGTTAATCTAGGTCAAGACGCTGTCAGCGTCCATTCCTATCAGAGGAACAGCTCGCCATGCCGAGACACCGTAAACTCCTCGACCCTCATCAGTCTGGCTAGCATCGTATTCGCATGATAATCAACGCACCAATCAACATCGATGGCGATCCCAGCAGCTTCCTTTCTGCTAGTGGAAGACTTGGGTCGACGGATATATATGAAGCAGCCCTGACAGCCACCGATACGATGTTGCACCACGCTTTCTGCATAGAAAGTGGCCATCATGTTCCATTATCGAATAGCACGGCGTGTCAAAAGGACGCACCGCCAATATTACTCGCTCGAGACCTTTCCCCCCCCTCTTTTTGGCTCGTGCTAGCGACAGAATCAGGAGAGGCGAAACGGATACTCTCGGCTGTCATTGTACAAATGACACCTACTAGTGGCCGATGATGCCCCCATCAAGAATACGCTCAAATGCTACAGTAGCAATGGCGATTTGTCGTCACAAGGCCCTCCGTGGCATCATATCGTCGGCCGAGCCCAACTGGATCCTGCGGGCAGTTATTAATAGCACAACCAGCATATTAATCAGGATTGGTTCTAGAGGCCGTCTTGGCGTTTATACCGAGCGCCTAGTTTGCCACTTTACAGCTCCAGAGGTTTGTTGGAGTTGAGACTTCTGCCACTTTGCTTCCCGGGATCAAGGCCGCTTGAATCTGCCGAGACTTTTGGGTGAAAAAGGGCTGAGACACCGCACAACAGCTCACATGCGCTATACAACCCGCAGCGGCTCCCGCATCTCCCTCCTTGATTTGGCGGCGGCGTGGTTCCGCAATGTGACCCGTTTTGGCGAGCAATATAATCGGACCGGTGCCGCGGGGAAAGTGCTCACGCAGAATCTCATTTTGATGCTATAGTGAGAATTGGCTCATCGGCGGGTCTTGACGTCTGCCGAGCCTAGTCTGGTCAAGAAATACGATGTTCAGCCCTCTGGGGCGCGCCCCCCCAGTGTCGATGTAGATCTTGGCTTCATGGGGGGGGACCCGCCATAGGCCAGGTGATCCTTGATCGGCCTTTGGCTTGTATCAAGTCTATCAACAATTGAGAATGAAGATGAAAAGAAAAAGACTACTATTGCTTGGCATTGAATAGGACGCAAATCTCCGGAGAAAAAAAAAAAGGCAATGTCCGAGTTTCTTGTTCTTCATAGCAGCAGCGTGTGACGTAAAGACTTGAGAGACGGCATTGAACTATTGTTGCCGGATTCCATATTGATGGCCATCATAGACGAAAACTATTCAAACAAAGAGACAGCAAAGTGGCATCTGGTTTGTTATGCCTTGGCATCAATAGAAATACGAGATTTTGCTCACTTTGCAGCCGCAACGTCAACCTATCAGTAGTTCCATATGAACCCATGCATGTGCAAAGAAAGACATGCTTGTTGAGACCCTGGACGGCTCGTATTGAGCTCCGCTGTCAGCCGAGATCGAGCTAGCGGCCCAAGACCCGGAGATTCAATACGGCCCATGATGCAGCCTAGACTTGTTCGTTTTCCGTCCGTCTTAGGAAAGTACCAGTAACACCGACGTCTTTGGGCTGCTTTGTGAAGCGACGTGACCCTTGAATCAGAGCTGACAGAGCTTCTAGCCTAAAAGAACTGTCATGTCTTTACTCCCATATAAATATCTGATCATCCCCTCCCTTGATTTTAAAAACACCAACACTCACAACTTACACACTCTTCACACCTGACACCTGACACCTCCCCCCTCAAAACGCCCCAAACCGACCTTTACCATGCTCAAGCATCTCAGCATCCTCGCCGTCGCCGCCGGCCTCGCCTCCGCCACTGGCCTCGCCAAGGTCACCAACCAGTGCGACTTTGAAGTCACGCTGTGGTCCGTCGGCAAGGACATTTCCGTCGGCCGCACGCTGGCCAAGGGCGAGTCCTACGCGGAGCCCTTTGCCGTCGACCCCAAGACGGGCGGGCGCACCCTCAAAATCACGCGCGACCGCGACGGCCTCTTCACCGGCAAGCCCCAGACAAACTTTGCCTACAGCCTCACCCCGCCCAGCATCTGGTACGACCTCAGCGACGTCTTTGGCGACCCGTTCAAGGGCTACAAGCTGCGCCTCGCCAGCGACGACGATACGTGCCCGGCCGTCCAGTGGGACAAGGGCGTGCCTCTGGGCGGGAACCACACGCACGTCTGCCGCGCCGACGCTTCCGTGGTCCTTACTCTCTGCGCTTGATTGGCACCTGGCAGATGATTGCTTCCCGAGACAAAAAAGACTTTTCAAAGTGACAAGACAGTTTTAATTAGATTGCCAAGAGCAAATGGACCTTTGTCATGGAAAGTGCCAGTTGACTTTAGTACAGCAAGAAAGTCGACACTGAACATTGTACACTCATCCTATTGTATATAATAAAGGAACTTGAAGAATCATCACAAATAAAGAATTCAAATTTCTTTTCCAAGCATCTACAGTCCTGCATCTGTACCGCTAAAGTGAGAAGTGATCTGGTGTTGGCCTCGCGCACCTTTGCCGATGGGTTGCCTCTTGTGGGCGGTACGACATCTGCGGTGGATTCTGGTGAGAGCGGCCGGCCGCGGATAGGACGGCCCCTAAGCTTGCCGCATGAAACGGAGGGAAAGAGACGACAAGTAAAAGAAAGAAAAAAAAGCGCAAGAGGACGCTTACAAGGGCAAAGGTAGGCCAGTATGCAAGTAATGCCAAAACCGATGATCAAGTACTGCCCAAGAATGAATCGAAAGACTGCGGCTGCGACGGCGCGCCGTTGCGGGCCCGAGTCGACGGCGGTGACGGCGGTCATGACTTTCCCGGACGGGCGGTGGGTGTCACGAAAAAAAAAGAAAAGAAGAGACAATTCAACCAGAAAAGGATCACCTCGAGGTTAAACAGACATGTCGACCCGGGCACGCTTCTAAAGCGAAAGAATTAGTTGCACAGTCGCGATGCGCGCACAGTTGACACTCGCAAATACGACATCTCTACCCGTTTGCCCTTGTCTGTGGGGTGGGACTAGTAGAAAGGCGAACCAGAAACAAGTCTGAGTGAGTTCTCGATTGTGCTCCGCCGCGTAAATATTAATTTTCAATTAAAACGCTGACCAATGGAGGAAGCTAGTTTCTTCTTTCGTGGCGTGCCAAGTTTGGCCATCAACTCTTGACTGCCGCGGGGCCGGGGCCGGTGCTAGCTGGCGTTACGTTGTAACATGATGTTGGCATTTGCAATTCCTAAACAATGTATTTCTGTCGTATTATATCTGGAGCAAAAGATGATGGCCTAAAAGGACCATGTAGAGCAACCACAGCCATGGATGTGGTAAAGCTTCAAGAAAAGAAAATACCAAGCAATCCCCCAAAACGCCGACAATGTCAGTGGTATCAGAATTAACATGGCGTTTAAACACCGTTCAAAAAATAGCTTGTAACGCTCTTTTGCTCGAAAAGGACTACTCCGCCCCAAAACGCTTTCGTTTTCGCGCTCAATATGTGTGCAAGTTAAAAAGAGAATATCCGTTACCGACGCTTCCATTGCCGTCTGTACGTACTATACGGGCATTGCAGAGACCGGCTCCGTCGGCAGCACCGTCCTGGAATCGTTCCCACCAGCCGTACTAGGAGCCGGTGCAATTTCGGGATCCGGTATTTGAATGTCGAGCTTGAGTTCATGTCAGTATAAACCTTACATGATGAAGCGAGCCACACTGCCCAACTCACAGTCATGTATCCTGTTTTGCGGAGGGAAATTATTCTGGGCGCCGCAAGTCCGCTGTCATCAGTAGACACCGACTTTTGCATCTCCGAATTCCACTGCTCAATCCACTTCTCCAGGGCAGCCAGCCTCCTCTTGGATGCCGTCATGCCCAGGTCATCCCACAGCCAGCCGGTGAGGGCCCCCATGACGCTATCGACGATGTTGCGCCCGGCATACGGATTAAATGTTGCGCCTAGCTCAGCGTTGAGCCTGCCAATGACTTTTCTGAATTCCTGCTCCGAAATGCCGGCAGGGTCCAAGATCTCGGGGTAAAGGTTTGAAAAGGCCGGGGCCAGGTCGCCGTGGAGGAGCCAGTCGCGGCGAACTCGGATGATTCTTGTTGTGGCGTATTCCGTCGAGTCGATGGGGACGTGAGGGTTCATATGAGGATAGCAGGGATGGCGAGGACCCCATTCCTCGCCAAGGTCGGCTTGGACATCGTCGCCCATGATGGAGGAGTTTGTCGAAGACAGAGCGGAGCCGATGCCCTCGCCGGCAGAGACGTTGGACGGACGAGGAGCATTCTCATCGCGACCGCGCTCGAGGTCTCTGGTAAAGCTGTCGCCAGGGGCGTCGTTCCCTGTCATGGTTGCTGTGGTATTGCCCGTCTAAGGAAAGCAATCGTAGTGCAGGCTATTCGAGCAGGAGTGGCGATTCGGCGACCAATTGACCTGATGGTACGGCTTTCTGTTATGTCGGTTTCCGGAAACAATTTGGCTCAGGCTATGGGCCAAAGCAGTATCTTTAAGAGTGCGGTGCTAGACAGCCAGTCAATTGCTCGAGTCGGCGGCTTTTGCGTGGTTCGGCAAGTTTGCGGGTGGAATGTCAGTGGCCTCAAAAGAGCTCGGACCGAAAGCTTTTGGTCTATCGGCACGGGCCGGGAGCTTTGACTGCGCGCGACTGCTGCTGCTAGGTATACAATCGTCAATGGCGATGATTCGGTGCGTCGAGTGATAATGGAGTTATTGTAATCAGGATGACGAGAGGTGCACTTTTTAATTTCGAGTTGCAGGAACATGAGGGCGGTCGTTTCGAGATTAGGGGAAGAGTGGAGCACGGACCCTCTCGTCAAGGTTACTGGTAAGTTTAGCATGACCACTGCCACTAGGATCAATGTGAGAGGTTGAATAAAAGAGGTCTGTCAAGCACTAATTATGATTGGACAAGTGGTCTACCTGTAAGCTGAATTTGATGTTGATGACTCTCAGGCCTCGATGCTGTACAATGTGCCCTACTGCTACAAGAGATGGTCACACGATTGACTCGGACGGGCAAACGGCATTCGCCCATGACCGCGAATAGAGAAAGTAACCTAAGCCATCGACGTCAGAAGATGGCTCTTCTTGGTGAGGTATGGCTCACATATTGTAGCGAGGAAAATCTCACCCAAGTTTTGCTCATTTTGGGCGAGATTTTCTTCACCTCGCCAAAAGTGGAAAATTTGTGACAGAAGTCATTGCCCATGAGAGGCTTGTTAGCAAGCATGACGATTGGCTTATGATGCCGTGCAGTTGTACTCAGCAATCATACCTTAAGAAAGTAATTTTATCATGTATCATTTACCCTTTGTAGCCGCCGGTCACATCGTTACTTGTGGTCCCGAGCCGCAGAATGATCACAGTGCCCTCGGCGTAGGCCGCCGACTGGTGGATGTGTGTTGAGACGCCAGACATAAAAGCCATCGTTTCCCTCCCTTTTCACTCGCTTTCAGCTTGTTCGAATCTCGTCTGAGTGACTTTTGCTTTGATGTTGAGACGGCGTCCTACGGGAAACCGCAGGAACTTTGTTCTGATTGTCCAGAGCTGTTTACTTTGCTTCTGAAATCGCCCAGCCGCAAGCCATGCAAAAATCCACCAACGCATCCGAGCAAAATAGCCCCAGCTCTCTGGCATCTTGAAATTCGACATGGATGCATACTCAAAATAGATTGGGTAGTACCCGGCGAGATCCCAGTCAAGCAGCCATGCATCTCCTGACGTGTTGACCACAATATTACGCGGTGCAAGATCATGGTGTGTGAGCACAAACGTGTCCACCCTTAGATCTGAAGACCCTTGCAAAACTGCGTGATCGCGACTGCTTTTTTTATATTCATGCCTGATAGATCCAAAGTCCGTCCAGAAGGCCAAGAAATCCATGACATATCTGACGGTCGCCCTTGCAGGTAGTCCAAATCGGTCATCTAACCAGAATGACCTGCAATTGCCTGTGACAATGGATCCGGCAGTGTCCGAGGTAATAGATCGCATCAGCGAGACGAAGCGGCGCAGCTGGAAGGCCAGGCGTAGAGACACATACCAGCTTAGGCCAGGCCAGGCGTCTTCTATTGTCCGCCCTTCGATTCGTTCCATGACGAGGAACTCCACGTCTGAATACTGTATTGGCCGTATTATCTTTGGTGTTCTTATGCCGAGAGATTGCGCAATTTCGATCGCTTTCATCGTATCGGCGAGGCAGTCCGGCCTGTAGGCTTTGGCGAGGAATCGGTCTGATAACAGTGCAATTCCACCATGGGGCGTTAGGCGCGGGCTCTGCGTGATTAGTGATTGAATTTCGGCATCCGAGCCGTACAGGACTACATAGTCCGGTGAGTCTCTTGCCATAATGATTGCGTTCGATGATATTGCTCTGGGTGGCTGCCCTTGGCGTTCGAGGACTGCCGTGTTTATCTGTGGATGGTGCAGTAATGAATAGTTAAAGCTAGGCTGTGGGTAGTTTCCTGCTCAGTACCTTAATGCGTGACTCGAGCTGCGGCAACCTTCCGCAAGCCAACGCAGAGCGGGTTAATAGCGAAATTATTTTTAAGCCGGCCAAAATAGCTCCGAGAGCTGGAGAACAAAGTAAAAAACATTTACATGTTGCGAGGGAATCCTGCACCAGAGGCCGATTTGTATTGATCCCCCTCTCCAAAGAAAAATACAGTTTCTTGTCCGGCATGGTCAAAATGGCAGGTCGCAACGTCATAGTGGCGTCCAAGAATCCTCTCAAGATGCTGGCGACTCAGGAAGGCTTCAAGCGCATGTTCCCCGACGTCGACTTTGCCTTTGAGGCCCGCAGCGTCGGCTCCGGCGTGGCAGACCAGCCCCTCTCGGACCAGGAGACGCTCCAGGGCGCCCTCAACCGGGCGCGCAACGCGCGGGAGCTCGAGCCGACGGCCCTGTACTGCGTCGGGCTCGAGGGCGGCGTGCACACGACCGCCGAGGGCGAGGTCCAGGCGTTTGCGTGGATCGTGGTCCTGGCGCAGGATGGCACCGTCGGCCGGGCACGCACGGCAGCCTTTTTCCTGCCGCGCGAGACGACGGAGCTGCTGCGCCGCGGCCTCGAGCTGGGCGATGCGGACAATCTCCTCCACGGCAAGACAAACTCCAAGCACCAGACGGGCACCGTGGGCATCCTGACGGGGGACGCCATTACGCGCCAGAGCTACTATGCCGAGGCAGTGGTGCTGGCGCTGGTTCCGTTCAGGAATACGCAGCTGACATTTGGAAAGGAGTCGGGCAGCGTGGGATCGGAGCCTGGTCAGCTCGCGGCTTGATGTATCAGTCTACGCGAGGATGATGCGAGGTACAGTGCAATGATTCTATCAAAGGGCAGCCGTGGTCTGGCTGGCGTTGAGGGTTTTCAACAAGGCGACAACTCGATAGGCCTTGTTAGGCTTTGCATCGGGAGTTTATTCTTCATTCTTCAGTGCTACACATTACACTTTCTTTCTTGTCTCTAGTGCAGCAGGCAAGCTGATCGCTCAAAGCCCGTGCGCATTGGCAGGTCGATGGCTGCCGCGTATACGCCCGCTTACAAGGTGTCGCAGGGTCGCGCGGCTATTTGCGGTACCTGAACATCGGAACCATGGCAACAGTGATGATGGTGGCAACAAAGCATGCAATGAAAGCGGATTTCATTATTCAAAAAGAGCTTGTCAAATGTCAACTTGAAGAGTTAACGGGTAGCAAGCAAGAACGAAGATGGATTCTCAATCTACATTCCGTGTGAGTGACTCGTCAATGGAAATGGTCAACACAACTCTTCATACATCAAGTTGGTAGCCTTGTCTTTCAAGCTGGTATCAAGCTCGCAATTCTTCAATATTACACCCTCTTGGCTCAAAGAGCAGCCAAGCATCTATCTCCCTTGCAACGCAGTCTCCGCCATTCACTCTGGGCAATCCTGGCCTGATCCCAGCTTCCGCCGTCCTATAGTCCCACATCAAATATAACGATGGTAAGATAATAAACTCACTTTTACCTCAAAACTGCCTGAGAACTGAGCGCAGCCGGCGGCCCACGCGACCCATTCCATCCATCTCGCCATTAAAACCTTCTGCCCACTACCCATCGGCCTGGGCCCCAAGTTATTGCTTTCATTATCTACTGGTACTCTTATTCGACTTGGCGTTCATCCACCTCGATTGTAACACTTCATCCTGGACGCTGAAGAACCTGCTTTCCTTATTTTCTTTTCTTTTTCTTTTTTTTTTCCGCAATCGATGTAGACACCGGTTACAGTCGTATTCTCACTGATATGACAAGATGTTTCTTGCCAGACAGTGGAGAGCAACGGCAACAACAGCTCATATTTTTCTCGCTGCCCATTTGTATATCACCATGTTAGCTGCATTTTATATTATTAGTGGGAGCAGCAATTGTCAGTTTCTCAGACCCCTGTGGGAACTACATACTTGCACACCGTTTTTTGTAGCTGGCTTGAATTCATTTCCACATGCACCTCGATGTAGCCGATTTTTTTTTTTTTTCCAGTCTGATCACGTCTCCGTAGCTGTCTATATTAATCTCTAACCAAATCTCTGCTCTCTCTCCATCGTCACATTATCCTACATGTCTTGGTCTGTGCTGGCATGACCGAGGCGGATCGAACCGAAGACCCATCTCTTTCAGAGATTAACACCAGAGCAATCGCCAACATGACTTCCGAGGATAGTATACAGGAGCACCCCCATGGTGAAAAGGCCGAAGGCGATATTGCTGTAACGTCGCCGGCGTCGCGGGAGCACGCGCGCGAAGAAGGCGCCTGCGAGGAATGCGACGTCTACAAGTCAACATACGATGATGCGCAGGCCATGAAGCGCATGGGCCGGAGGCAGGAGCTCGTGCGGCACTACCGCGTCTTCTCGATGGTGTCCTTTGTCGGCATGGCCACGGCCGCCTGGGAAATGACTCTGTACCAGATCACGCCGGCGCTGCGGGACGGCGGGCTCCCCGCGCTCGTGTACTCCAACATTTGGATCTTTTGCGCCTTTGTCCCCGTGGTGCTCAGCCTGGCCGAGATGTCGAGCATGGCCCCCATTGCCGGCGCGCAGTACCACTGGGTGTCCGAGTTTGCGCCGGAAAAGTATCAAAAGTTTCTGAGCTACCTAACGGGGTAAGCAGAGCTTCCTCCCCCCTCCAGGAATTCGCATGGCGGCAAATGCTAACATCATCTCTCTCTCTCTCTCTCTCTGTGCAGCTGGACATCTACTCTTGCGCTGCAAGCTGGCAACGCGTCTGGGCTGTTTCTCATCGGCACTCTGGTACAAGCAATTATCCAAATTCACAAGCCCGGCTACTCGTTTGAAAACTGGCACGGCACGCTCCTCGCCGTCGCCGTCTGCTGTCTCACGGTTGTCGCCAACGTCTACGGCTCCAAGATGCTGCCGCACTGGCAGAACCCCATCTTTGCCATCAACATCCTCGCCTACTTTGCCTTTATCATACCCGTCTGGTGCAACGCGCCCAGCACCACCTCGGAGCATGTCTGGACGCAGTGGGAAAACTCGGGCGGCTGGTCCAGCCTGACCGTCGCCGTGCTCGTTGGCCAGCTTCCCGCCATCACGTCGCAGACTGGCATGGACGCCGCCGCCCACATGTCGGAAGAGGTGCGCAATGCGTCGTCGTCGGTACCCAAGGTCATGATTAGCGTGTTTTGCATCAACTTTTTCCTCAACATCATGACCGTCATCACGCTCTGCTACCACATCCCCGACGTCACGGCGGCGCTCAACGAGCCGACCTTGTATCCCGCCATCTGGGTCCTCAAGCAGTCCATGTCGGATGCGTGGCTTACGGCTCTCCTGGTCGTGCAGTGCATCTTTTTGCTCTTTTCCAATTTTTCGTACCTGGCTGCTGTCAGCCGCGACCTGTTTGCCTTTGCGCGCGACAAGGGCCTGCCCTACTCGGAATGGCTGGCCAAGGTGGACAAGGAGCGCAAGATTCCAATCAACGCCTATTACATGACGGCCGCTTTTGCCGCGCTTCTCAGTCTAATCTACATTGGCAGTCCGGTCGCGCTCTATGCCATTGGCTCGTTGCTGGCCTGCGCAATCATGCAGTGCTTTTGCTTCTCCATTAGCTGCGTGCTTTGGCGCCGCATCTACCACCCGCAGACCCTGCCGCATGCCCGCTTCTCGCTTGGGAAGCTGGGTATTCCCATCAATGTTGTGGCCGTTTTCGTCGTGGCATGGAGCTTCTTCTGGGCCTTTTGGCCTCAGGAGTATCCGGTCACGCCGAGTGGCTTCAATTGGTCCGTGGGAATCTTTGTCCCAACAATTGTGGTGGCCTTGATTTATTACGTCGTCAAGGGTCGCCATGTATACGAAGGTCCTGTCGTTTTGGTCGAGGGGAGAAAAATGCACGTTGCCTAGGTAAAGAAAGGCGGTGCATTGCAAGTTTAAGGTGTGTACCTGGGGGTTGGCATCCTGTCAGTTTCCACTACATCATTGCATTTGTACTCCAGCATTATTACATGACAGATTTGAATTGGGCCTTTTAAAAACATGCCACTTGTTTCTGGCTTTTCTATAGAGCATTGGCAGCGACGTGTTGTATTATCGGCTGACCTTTTTTGCCTCGACAAATGCCAGTGAACAGCAACTCGTACCAGTATTATTACTGATAGCCAGGTCTTATAGCCAGCGGGGTCGATTCTGCTTCCGGCCAGGCTTCGTTCGATATTTAGATACGAATATGTAGGGGTAAAAGAAAGGCGGACCGCGGTCCTCCCCGGTAGTCATGCTGACCGGTGGGCTGAGCCGAAGATTTTCACGAGTTCCACCTATAGCGAGCATTTTTATTTATTTAGATGCAATATACTCTTGGCGTAGAATCTTTTCCCCAATTTTATTCTTAATTAAATGGGGCTTGCTTAATATGTAATTAACCTCGTAACTAAGCCGTACTCCTTCCTCTACCCTTGCTTGCTCTTGCCCCTCATCTTGAACTCTGTCAACAGCCGGCAGCCGCCTTGTCGCCGTTTTGTTAGCGCCACGCTTCGATGATGAAGGCCAGTGATCGGGCGACGGATAGTCTGGGTCTAAGCGGAAGCTTTCTTTGCCTCGTTCTCGCTCACAGGGATGCGCTGTTTCGTTCACCAGCCGACCAGTTACCGAACCAACACAAACAGGGGAGGGTTTCTTGAGCTCCCAAAGGAGCAACTATTTGCTGCTTCGCGGCGAGGCGGGCGAGTCAGGACCCATGAAAGTATGGCAGGCTGCATTCAGTACAGTTCTTTACGCACGCACGGCCGCTGGAAACTACGGCAAGGAGCGTTGTTCGTCAAAGAGAAACATGTTGACGCGCAGAGCTGTGGCTGCATAAGCATGTCACAAGTGTGAGTGTCGTGCATATGGAAGTAGCCAGCTGTTTTTTGATGCCCTCAGGCAACAACTGCAGGGACCTGCGTTCTAGATTGTGGCAGTAAGGGGTTAATGTAGTGTTTTCGAGCAGCATCGCCCCGATATTATAGACTTGCAACCCTTGAGATGAAAAACATGGGCCACGAACCAGTCAAAGCCCGCCGTCATGGGTGCCATGGATGAGCCCTGCAAAGCTTCTTATTTTATAGATTGTCTCTACTCTTCCGGTCGATCATTAACGGTCCACTGGAGAATGCAATTTTATTTGCTCATTGCCCACATGGTTGCACGACTAACCCCCGAGTTGCCGTTATGATAGATACTGGGTACTGCACCATGTTGTTAGGCCCCGATCCGTATCTGCTTGTCCGATGCTCTGATTAACCTTGTTCGTATCCGCTGATTTTGGACACCTTTCTGTTTCCGGCTGTCATCTTGCGTCTGTTTCCGGCTTTCATCTTGCGTCTGTTTTTTACAAGTTTCACCATAACTAGATTCAACAATCTCTGCGCGACATTGGGTACTTGCTGATCACAACCATCATCAAACGACCCAATAGCTTTCGCCAGATGATCCAAAACTTGTGCAAAACTTTTATGACGGCGCTGTACAGTAGCAAGTCCACGAAAGAGACGCAATGGAACAAGACCGGGCTTCGTGGTTGAAGGCTCCAATGGGCATGTTTCTAGCCTGGTCTGCGTCGGCATTCCTCATCAGGGCATGGGCCAAGTTTCGGACAAAAACATGGGGACTGGACGACTATTTTCTTTCGCTATCTCTTGTAAGTGCCTGAGAAGAGTAAATCTTACTTTCCTTTATTGACACGTTCCTTTTAGGCGACGACTGTGGCGCACGTGGCCTGCATATATCGGGCCATGCATTTCGGATATGGAAAGCCACTGGCCGCAATAGAGTCAGGTCATCGCTTTCCATTGGAAAAGGTAGAAAAACGTGGCATATTTTGAGGATTATGATGAGACTAATCCCGTGGATTGTAGCTGCTATACACGAGCGAGCTCCTATACGTGTTGGCACAGGGTTTTTGCCGAGCTTCAGCGGCGCTATTCATCAGTCATATGGCCCAATGTGGCCCTCAAAAACTACCAGCCAAGATATTGGCTGCCATTTCCGGGGTTTGGACTGCAGCATCTTCATTTTCGATAGCCATTCGTGGCGATGCTAGTCGTCCTTGGTCCACACTGGACGGAACCCGACCACAGGTATTTGATGATCTGGTGTACGATATCTAGCGAGAGAATGCTGACCTGGACACCAACACAGTTTATTCGTTGGATGTCTATAGAAATTATTGGGGCAGTTATTGAACTGGCGATTTGGGTCCTTGCCGTCCACCTGGTCTGGACTCTCCAGATGACATTACGAAAGCGCATATATATTCTCAGTGCATTCGGTGTCAAACTCATGTTGGTGCACACTCTCCTAGCTTCTGCGCGGATATCTAACATTTGCCATAGACTTGTCGTTTTGATCGGCTTGCGTCTAAAATATCTGGCCCCTTCGCGGAACTGGGATCCGACTTTCACGAGCATCATGCCCGGCATTTTTACCCAAGCCGTGCTGCACTTTTCCATCATTGCATCCTGCGTCACGACGCTGAAACCGTTCCTGCGCCATTTTGACCCTACCTACGTTCTCGAGAGTGCGGATGTGGATTCCTCGAAGCGCTCACGGGCCAGCATGAATGCCTCGCGCGACTCGTACTACCGGCTCGGGGCCATGAACCGGGTCAATCGATCCAACGACGATCCCAACGACAAGGTCAATTGGCGGCCGTACCAGGGACCAACGCAAGCTGAACCCTACGCCGCGGCCTACCACGACTCGAGCGTGACACAGTCAAGCCAGTCCAGCAAAGAGAGCAGGCTGTTGAGGGCGAGCCGCAGCATAGGCGCCAATCTGAGAGGTGTTGCCCAGGGCAGGCAGGACGGCGCGATGCAGAGTAAAAATCAGGGTGACGGGGCATCCTTGAGGACAGATGCATCAGATCGCATGATTATTGAACGAAAGAGAGAATTCTCCATCAAGCATGAAGTTCCTACACCACAATGTACAATACAAAGGAATCAAATATAATAATAATCGTGCAATAGTCTATCCTGGGATGGGGTAATCGGCTCAAGTGCATGTAAGATGTCGAGTCACATAATTCGGGACAAATATGTAAATGTTGCCACCGAGATCAGACGATCATTGCCCGTTTTTATCGAGAAATGCGGCGCTATTGAAGTGGTCGTGTAATTGATTAGGATGAAGCTGTTACATGGCCGCTCTGCTGCATGGCAAGGCGGCCACAAGCGTCGGCTGAAAAGCTGCTTGGAATATATGCTCCGGGGCGAAAATGGCCAAATAATTTGATAATCAACTAGGACCTGCTGCTCTGCCTGGTCAGCGTAATAACAATGCAAATCCCCGCTTCCTAATGCAGGGCTGCGTACCACCACATGCAGGACGATATGATCTGGGAGGAGGAGAAGGTGTCTCCTGTATATCTAGACTGGCGCGGGGGAACTATTGTTTTTCAATGTTGGAACATTTGCAGGAGTTTGAATGCATAAGGTACTCTCTCGCTTTTGATCAGCTCAGGCCATCCGGCTTGCCTTATCCACTGAGTGACCATTTGTATGTATCAAGGTATGTACCCCAGACTGTGGCTGTCTATTGAGATTGACACTGTGGAACCCGTCCATCCGTCCATCCCATCTATCTGGAGCATGTACTAATAGTTAGCTACTGGTCGGCAGGTCGGGTGCTCTATTCAGCTTTGCCCATTCAGGGACTGGAGAATAAATTAATCAGGGAACAGGCTCGCTCACTGCCAGCTTTCTTTCGATCCCTTGAATGGTGTGGTGACGTGAACAGTGCTGGGTACCAAGCTAAAGTACCACTTACCCGCTGCCCGCATCTGTCCCGCATTCCTGCTTGCCCATCTCGCGAGGCTTGCAGCAAGCAGTAGCACCACCACCACCACCACCACCACCACCACCACCACCACACTTTTTTTCTACACAAACAACGAAAATTTCAAACCTTGCACTTGTCATCCGCTATTGCCTCAACACCTCTACGTTACCCTGCTGTCCGATATAGACTGACTGTACGTCTTGGCTTGACACGCGCTGCGAATGCATTTCCGCAACCATGGCCGATGACGCTTCTCCGTCGACATCTGCCCGCCCTTTGTTGCGTCATGCGAATAGCGGCGGCCACCACAACAGCACCCACGGTAACGGCAGAGCAGACGGCAACAGTAAAGCGACGGCCACGAGCTCAGGCATCAGCGCGCCGCCGGGCCACGCCTTTAGACGAGCCAAGACGGTTGCCGAGAGCAACCCCGGGATGGCGCACCTTTCGACAGCCTCGCGCCGCTTCTCGTCCGACTCGAGCGCCCTTGAGTCGCCGCCGCAACCGCAACCTAGGAGGAGCTCCAACTTTTCCGACTACGGCGTCAACGAGGCCCGGTCAATCTTGAACCCGCATAGCAAAGCCGCCGCGCAGGGCGGCGCCGACCAAGGCGGGGAGCTGTCGTCGCTCGCTGGTCTGTCGCTGGCATTTGCCCTGCTTCCCGCCATTGCCGGCGCACTCTTCACCAACGGAGGCGCCGTGACGACGGACATTATGCTGCTGGGCTTGGCCGGTGTCTTTCTGCACTGGTCCGTAACGCAACCATGGTAAGCTTAACCAGAGACATGCTCGGCGAGAGCGCGCTTGGTCAACTGGCTCTAATCTGACTACAGGCTGTGGTACCACTCGGCACAGCAGGTGCGCATCGAACATGAAGCGAATTCTGCGGATGCCGTCTTTGAAGACGACTTGGACGACAGCGACGATGACGACGACGATGACGAGTACGCAGACGGAGCTTCGCACCTGGACCATGTTTCGGAAGAAGAGACGGCACACGCCAAGGCAGACAATGTGGCACCGGGAAAGCAAACGACGACATCGGCCACGCAACAATCTGCCCTCAGCGAGCTCTACCTGCACGAAGTAACGGCCCTTGTGTCGTGCTTCTCGTTGCCGCTCATCAGCGCCTTTCTCCTGCACATGATTCGCTCGCAGCTGAGCCGTCCGTCTGAGGGCCTCGTCTCCAACTACAATCTGACCATCTTCATCCTCGTCTCCGAGGTACGCGTGCTCTCGCACATGATCAAGCTGGTGCAGGCGCGCACGCTGCACCTGCAGCGCGTCGTGCACAGCGACCCATTTGGCGCGCTGCCCGCCGCCAACAGCCTGCGCATCAATGCCATACTTGAGCGCCTGGACGGGCTCGAGTCGGACGCGGCGGCGACTCGCAACGCCGTCCTTGCTGAGGAAAACGAAGCCGAGCCCGACGGCGATCAGGAGACCGCCAAGGCCGCGCAAGAGGCTGTCCTGGCCAAGGACGTACGCAACGCCATCCAGCCGGAACTCGACGCGCTCAACCGCGCCGTGCGCCGCTACGAGAAAAAGTCGACGCTGCTGCAGTCTCACGTCGACGCCCACTTTGCCGCCATGGATGCGCGCGTCCAGGACGCCATTGCGCTCGCCGCCGTTGCTGCCAAAAACAGCGCCCGGAGCAGCATCCTGGTGCGCGGCTTTGACGCCGTCGTGGCCATGGTGCTGTTTCCGTTCAACGCCGTGCTGAAGCTCCTGCTCCTGCCCATCCAATGGCTGTTCTCGCTCACGCGCGGCGGCGGGAGGAAGAAGAAGAAGCAGAACAATATAGCGAGCGGCGCGGGCGGCGGCGGCACTCAGCTTACAGGAAGCAAAACCTCTTCTCGAGCCGTGCGAGGGAGCAAAATGACAAGCCAGCCACGCTACAATGGCGATCAGATGCCATCGCGGCTAGCACGGAAATGACGACGTTGATGAGAATGAGGTTGTGTGTAAGCCCTACGTGTTCATGCGATTCGAGCGACGTTTTCCTTGTTTCACTTCTTCTTCATCACTGTGTTTCGGCACAAGTTGCAAGCAAACCTGTCAAAAAGTTTTTCAATTTTTTTTCTTTATTTTTTTTTGCTCTTGATTCATAATGGGCTTACAGCGCATCATGCGATGCATGTTTCCCGCATCTGCTGCATAGCCCACACCATACCACTTTACGTTTTATCCCTATCATGCCCCTCATCATTATATCCCCCATCACTTTTTTTTTTCTTATTCAAATGACTTTTGTTGATTTGGCAGCGTTTGATAGTCAGAGCAGGGGAAGCCTTGTTTTGGACTTTGCAATCGTTTACAACCCCCTGGGTGAGCATGATTCCGACACGCAAAGGGTGTCTGTCGACTAGTCGTGGTGACATCGTAACATATTTAGCCCGTCTCAATACATAAATGAAACTTTTGGCAAGGGCACTAGCAACGGCCCGTCGCCAGTTCTTTTTAGACCAAAAAAAATTGATTCTTGAGAATTTTTAGAGAGTGCATGTGAGCAGAAATGGGATCAAAGCGGCTTGCTAATAGGGCTATCCGGGTCCCAGGTCTGCGTTTTGACTTTTGGCGGGTCAGTTCAAAGTTGTCTCCCCCCCCCCCGTCGTCGCAAAGGTGAATCGACGTGTCGCGCAGCAAATCAGCCCGGAAGCGTATGAGCCACTGGTTTCACCTTGCATGAGCCCTGCTACTAAAAGAAGAAGAAGAAAACAAAACTCGCGACGTGTGCTGGAGGGCAATAGTAGGTGGCGTGGCGGTCTAGTAGTCGGTAAGACCGGCTTGGCCAGTACTCCCTCCGTAAGCTTTCGGGTCACTAGCTAGTATTAGGCTCTTTGGCAGTGGGCTGTATAATTAACGTCTTTTCTTTTTCTGACTTGTAGCCCCGAAACTACAGATGGAGAAGGGACATTGAAAACGCCTCTACACGCGGCTGAAAGTGCTGGGCAGAGATAACCCAGTACCTCGCGGTGTTTACCTCATTTGTTGCTAGAGGCCGCTCCCTTCAGCGGCCAGCTAATTAGCATTCAAACGAGGCTAAAAGCAATTTTTCCTTTTGATCAGCCCGCCATTTAGTATAATAGTGGCAGAGATACGGAGTACATGTCCATGCTTCTTGTCATGCATGGCCTTGCCTGCATGTAGTTGCAATGCTTTGGTCCTATATCACTATTTAGCGTCTCCAACGTAAACAAGACGAGCCAGAAGTCAGCATTGCAAAGAAGTGCTGCTCATTCCAGAGCTACTTTCGGAGCACCGATCCCGTCGCCGACGATGAGCTTTCGAGTGCATGGTCTCGAGTAATCGCCGTGCGAGTGCTACATTTGTTCCTTTGCCACATCGCGAGTGGAACAATGATCAAGAATGCTGCATGAGTCACCGAGAATCGAATGCAAGGCGCACCACGCATGGAGAATAGATGCAAAATGTTCACACGTCAGCTGCGATGCCAGCATGCACAAGAGGTGGCCTTTATGCACACTAATCAAGTAGTAGCTGGAATAGGTGACGAACTGGCACTGCACATGAAGCTGGACCTGGCAGTATCTGCATTTTCTTTCGGGTCCAATGAGAGACGCCGAACTGGCCGTTTGACCGCGTGGGTGGCGCTCCCGAACAATATCTAGCGGTGGCCTCAAGCGGCAAATCGGAGAACGCTGCATGTCTTGTGTGCTGTCAAACTGGCAAGAGAAGCATCTGCACAATGCCCGGGCTAGATGTGGTGTATGCATCGTACAAGACACTCGTTTACTGCTTGGTTCGGTGCATGGAGATCATAACAAAGTGGCAAGGCGATTCAACACTGCTGCTGCTGCTGCTGCTGCTACCTTCAAAAGTACCGGTAGGCAGTAATGGATGCTTGGACGCGATGCGGCCATTAGGACACGATGCGGCCACCAGGGCGTGGCATGTGTTTTTGACCTCGGCGAGAGCGTCAACAGCGCGTCATAGTCGGCCACGAAAAGAAGGCTGATTATTGACCATGAATGAGCCAAAAGCAGATGGCAGGCCGACGATTATTATAGAAATCCAGCCATGGTAGCATCGCACAGCGCCCTGTCTTGCGTGTGATGCTGGTTAATAAGGAGCAGCGGGCTATTGCCTAACTCGGGTAGAAAACCGATCGATGGATAGTCGTAGTGCTAAAAAGCGGCATTCAAAGGAGAGCTAATGAGCTAATAGCTAGTCGATTGAGATTTGGAAGAGGCTGCGGCTCAAATTTACCGAGCAGGTTCTCGGTGAGACGCGTTTGTGCTGGCAGGTTGTAGCCAATTTGTCGGGCAGCGATAGGGAGCTCGAGCATGACAGAACAATGTGATGGCGGAACGAGACGATGACAAAAACAGCCCAAGAGGGTGAGGTGGTCGTTGATGGCATTGGCCAGGGTGGCATGTGGTGGCGCCGTGGCGGTCGATCTTGTGGCGCATCGCAATTTCCTGAAATCCTGGGTTTTGCTCGCTTGCACGGCATAGCCTGGCATGGCATGGGGCGTGGCAGCTGGCAGTTTGGCAGGTTGGCAGCTATCGGGGGGCTTGCATGCACGGCTGTCAGCCGGCTTGTTTAGTAATGGGGATTCGATGCATAGACAAGCGACGTGGAAAGGCTTGCAGATATTGTTCAAAGTACTGTCTGTGAGTCTGTGACTGGGTATTGTTCCTGGCTGTCTGGGCAGGTTCCAGAGCCAGTATTTTCGATTGGTGCCATCGGGCAAACAAGCGCCTTGTCCGAGCCCCAAGCACAGACGAAATATATTGCCAAGGACCATGTTTGGCCCATGATGTGATACAAGGTGTATCTGTATCGTGCCATGTAGAATCTGGTTGGCATGCGTAGCCCGCACCGCGTTGGAATCGTTCTGTTGTACGGAGTACGGATACACTGTACCAGTACTACGTCGTGTCCGTACACTGCATCGAAGGAAAAAAACGACGCCACACCGCATCCGTAAAACGGCCGCCAGCCGTGGTAGGAGATGATTCACATTCTTTGGGGTGAGGCGGGGAACTATATCATCAACCATTGTTAGATGTATGCATCATGGACTGGATACTGCTCATTTGTGCTTTGATTATGAAAAGAGGAGAGAGGAAGCTTTTGGCATGATTCATTTCTGGTGTTTAGCCTATCGTTTGCTCGAGTCTGGAGATGATGGAGATGGAAAGCCTCCAAACGATTCTTGTTGGCTTATTAGCGTCATCCAGGTCCAGTCAGGTCCAGTCAGGTACATGACGATACCTGAGTGCTTTCAGCGCATTCTAGCGCTGCGGCTGCCCCTCCTATCCACTAATGTCAAGCCACTCAACGACTCTCCGCCGAAGCCGTGAGCGGCCGTGGGCTGCATTAGTGCTACAGCCAGCCACTAATTAGTACCTTACTTGGCAGGGCCTGGTTTGGCCAAACCCGGCCCCGCCCGGGCTCCAACATGGCTTAATTGGGCGCGTTCCATTTTGCTGGGAAATGCCCTACGGAGTACTTTGCCTACCACTGACTGAGTAATACGGAGTTCTACCAGTATTATTAGAGCCTCCTTGGGTCCTTGACCCCCCCCCCCCCCCCCCCCTTTCGAGTCTGTCCTCGCCTTTTCCATGTGCCTCACCTCCACTTTCCCCTGCAAAACCTAAACGTTTGTCGTCGCCCGTGTCTCAAAGCCTCGTCCCATTCATTCAGTCTTGCAGGAAATTCTTGAAGCTGCTCGTCTCTCGCACTTTTAGGCTTCAATATGGCTTCTTCCACAAAGCAGCTCTCCCACCGCTCCTTGTTGCACCGCTTTTCTCGCCTCTCCTCGTCCTCGTTTGGACCTGGCTACGCCTACCTGTAATGCAGCTCTGCCATGCATGCAACCAAGCTCCTGTCCGCCGCAATGCGTCGACACCTTCAGGTGGCGCCATCGGAAATTGGCCTCTCGGCTGACCTAGGAAACGTGCGTGCTGTCTTCGAGTTAGTCGTCTTGTCATAGCCAGCATCCAAGGATCATGTACCATGTTGCATCGCCATCTCTCCACTCCAGCTCATGCGCTCGCCCACAGCATTTCTCCGGCCTCGCCTGCAACTTAAACTAAACTTGGCATTTCTCTTCCAGTCGTTTTCTTTTGTGCCTTTTTTTTTCTCGTCCATCTAATCTCGTGCTCTGGTCTGGTGCTCCTGTGTCCTGTGGCTTGACCTCGTCATTTTCCTTCCTTGGGCTCGTGTATTACTTGACTGCCCTCCCCTCTCCCCATCCATTTGTCAGACTCCTTCCCCCAAACATCAAACATCTCTCTTGATTATTCTGCTCTTCCCCTGGGCCTTGATCAAGGCATACTACGTATAGTTTGCTATTGACCTGGTGGCGCAACCGGATTCCATCCCCTGCGTGTCTCTCTCTGGCAGCCTCCCCCACTGCTCACCTTGAACCAAAAGCCTGTCTCACATTGGTGTGTCCAGCGTAATTTATTACTGGTACGCGCGACTGTTTGCTTCTTTTCTCCGTCTCCGACAGAGACATTGCTCTTAATACTGCGAAGCAGCACCCATTCCTTTTCTCTTCTGTTTGTCTTCCAGTTATGGTTTGCTGGTCCGATAGGTAGTCTTGGAAGCTTCGGAAGTCTGTTCAAAGCTTCCCCCGAGAGACGACCTGTCCGATTGCTACCTCTACTCGCCATGTTCGTCAGGTCCATTCGAATATGGGCTCTGCTCTGCCTTGTCCTGGCATTGCAGCTTGCCACAGCCCAGAGCTTCCAAGCTACTCGAAGAGCCGACGATGCCTCGCCGACAACACACGCTCCAGCATCAACCACAACCAGATCACCCAAAGAGACAGAAAAAGAACAAGTTGGGAAAAGTGACGACAACTCCAAGACGGGATCTAGCGACGCAGACAGTTCTGTCACGGCGACTGCAACGAGCACCGGTAATATCACAGTCAGTGAAACTAGCACGGGAACCACCACGCCCACGCCCAGCTCGACGGGTAATTCGACCTTCCTCAATGGTAAGCTGCAACTCGAATGCACTGCAATATTATTTTTTTCTTGGCTAACATTGGCTAGCTACAATCCCTCATGGTCAATTGCCTCTCGCGCCAAAGCTAACTCCGGGATGGGGCGTCGCTGGCACCATTATGATGCTTACTGGTCTGGTGTACGCTCTCATTGGGATTAAGAATCCCTGGGTCCACGCCTTTTTCTCGACCGCCTACATGGTAGCACTGGGTGTTGCCGTGCTCATTGTCTATCTCATGAATGTTCCACTGGGCAATGGCTTGCAAGGAGGTTACGTCGCAGCCATTATACTCTCCGGTTGTGCAGTTGGAACGGCCGCCATGTTCTTCAAGGATTTGACTGAAAGTCTGGGATGTGCTCTCGGGGGTTTCTGCATTAGCATGTGGCTTCTTTGCCTCGTTCCCGGCGGCCTGCTACATTCCACGGCCTCGAAAGCCATCTTCATTGCCTGCTTTACGGTTGTGGGCTTCGCCTTTTACTTTAGCCGCTTTACTCGCGACTGGGCTTTGCTTATTTCTATTGCCTTTTCTGGCGCCACTATATCAGTCCTCGGTATTGACTGCTTCAGTCGAGCTGGTCTCAAAGAATTCTGGGCTTGGATCTGGGCCCTTAACGACAATCTTTTTCCTCTGGGCGCAGATACATACCCAGTCACGAGAGGCATCCGAGTCGAAACTGCGGCCATCATAATCATTTTTCTCGTTGCCACCATGTCCCAGGTCAGACTATGGAAAGTTGTCCGCGAGAAGCGTGAGAAGCGGGCTGCGCTTCGTGCCGAAGGTCAGCGGAATCTCCAGGAGGAGGAAGAGACTGTCGGTCGACAAATTGAGGAAGCCAACGCTCGTGATCGCGCTGAATGGGAGCGCGTATATGGTGACGGGGGCGCCGAGAGTGTTACAGCTTCGCAACTATCTGACGGACGTGTTCAAGAAAAGGACCTGTCTCACAGCAATGTTTATGCCGTCAGGGGGCGATCTGGTGATGCTACTGAAATGAGCGACCTGTCAGAATGCGGCCACAGCGCCATAGACCAGCTAATGGCTGGTGAGGGTGATGAAGGCGGAGTGACTGTGCGAGTCGGAACCGATGACCTCCCGGAGAGTGTGGCGAATGACATGTACGAGGGTGATGAAAAAGGCCTGATTAGTGAGAGCAACGCCCAGGGTCTGAACGCTTCCCATCACTCAGCCACTGGCGAAAGGCGAACGTCAAAACTCTCAACCAGAAGCAAACGTGCCTCTGGTAATACCGCTGCCAGCAGCAGGGTTCTGGCCAACCCGCAAACCGTTACGCCTTCGCCCGAAATCGTACCTTTGCCATTCAGTGTACCTCAAGGCCATCTCACTCAATCTGAGCGATCTTCTGTCGCAACGTTCGCCGATGCCGAGGAAGATGCTACCTTGGCGATTCCACACCGCACTGAAAGGTCCTCAGTTGTCAAGCGCTTATCACAAGGATCCGCAGATCTTCTACGAAACCTATCACAACGCTCGGAGCGCTCGAACCACGCGCCCGAGCTTGCCCGCAATGGAGGCGGAAGTACCGAAATGCTTTTGACAGAGGTTGAACCGCATCGTCAAGACCAAGATAACGAGTCTCTTGCCGCCACAATGGACGTTGAGAGTGTCAGCGGTGGCCAGCGTCGTTCCTTGGACATGGATGATGACAACGTGAAAGAGGTTGATCCAGAGACTGTTGTTGAGGATGCCGGCACATCAGAGGAGAGACCCGAGGTCAATGCTGAAGTGACTCAGGCGAAAGGGACCGCAGTTGACCAGTCGAATGCGAAGTCTCAGAAAGCAAAGAGGCAAAGTACGACGTCTCAAAACAAGACTACCAGTCCAACAAATTCCGAAGACCCCGATCAGGCAGTCAGCCCGCCGCAATCCGAGGTGGTCAAGTCGGTTGCATCCGAGATTTCCGGTCCCGTTAGCCTGACGAGAGAGCGTCTTCCGAGTTCAATGTCCCGGGTCGCATTGTCCTACCGTACAAATGAGTGGGCTAAACACTTGAGCAACGCCGACCTACCTGATGTGGATGAGCTACCAGTTGAGAAGCCCGCCCGCACAAAAAAGGCCACCAACGAGCGTGTCAAGCCAGTCGATGTGCAAGAACTTCAAAGGACTGCAGAGGATGGAGCCCCGGCGCCTGCGCTTCCACGTTCACAATCTCGGCTATCTACGATGTCTACTGCTAGCGGAAAACCGCAGACTCCAACACCGACCGACACCGAGCCCATTCAGGTGGCTAATCTCGCGGCTTCTGCACCCTCGCGTGAAACGTCTAGCTTTGTTGCGCCAAAAGACGCTACGCCAATTCCCAGGTTGCGTTCTGTCTCTTCTACAAACATGCGCAAGTCTTCTCCGACAGTTCGGTCCATTCCCGAGGAGCGACAAGATGTCGATACATTACCAGCAGCCCCTGAACAGGAAGAAGAACCATCCAGAGAAGCAAGTCCTGTACTGGAGGCTGGTCCGTTTCTCAAGCCCACTGGTGCTTCTGGTATAGTCTCGTACTCCAGTCCGCAAACACTCCTTGGCCAGCGCGAGATTTTTCTGCGCAGCAAATCGCAGGGAAGTCTTGTGAGTAGCGTTGGCGACATGCAAGGCACGCCGCTCCCTCCCATGACAGCCCCTAGTGATGCTGGCTCTCTGCACAACTACCCCATGTATGCTTCGGGCTTTGCCTCGGATCCCGACGAGATACCACTGAGCCAACGCCGCTCCATGATTCTCAGCAGCCGCATGTCGATGAATGAGTCGTCACTCTCTCTAAATCGCGCCGGGAGTCGCGCCGGAAGTAGCCACGGCGGTGCCGACAACCTCGCCTTCAACTCTCACCAACCCAAGCGAACTTCAGGGCTCCCCTCATCGGCTGCGCGAGACATGCAGCTAGCCAATTTCCGCATGTCTGTCTCACAGGATTTGCGTGCCGGTAATCCCATGATGTCTGGCGGCGGGCGCGAAACGCCCTTTACGTCTACCAACTCTCTGCTTGGTGGTCGTGAAGCCGAGGTGCAACGCAACATTGAGATGCAGCGCCACGTTCTTTTGGGGCAAAAGGAAGCCGAGGCTCAGAGGAGAGAGATGCAGCGCCGCGATAAGGAATCCTCTGATCGTGCCTTTGACGACCGCATGCGCCGCGGCGACCTGATTGATGCCCACCGCGAGGCCATGCGCAAGATGCAGCGAAGTGCTAGTAAACACTAAACGCAGTCATTCCTTGACCCCTGGCATTTCTTTTTTCTCAAAAACAATTCTTTTCTGACTTTGCAAGTCGCACGATACCTCCGTTCTCTACCGTCACCGCACCACACGATGCCTTCAAATTCTTTTCAATGTCAACATGAAAAAATCGAATACCCCCTAATACCAGTTAACAGCACAGCCGCCTGGGGCAATTTCCCCTCGTGCGCGATGGCCACATATACCAGTTGCACTGCTAGGTCACCAAATGCAAAATTTATTGCCCAGGCGTTTTTTTGGATCAATATGGCCCTTTATTTTGATTTGCTCCGTCTCTGTGCGCAATAGAGACGAGCTATGGCAGTCCGGCGTATACATAAAATAGTTTACTTGTTCATAATTGAATGCATTTCCGAACTTTAATATCATCCTGTCTGTACCTGAGATGTGCATACCATTGTGGAAAATCAAAGCCCTCGGCAGAGAAGAAGACGACATATAGAAAAGTCTGCCAAAAAATGTGAGCATAGCACCAGAAGCAACCAACCGTACTCATCAACGCTGAAATTAGAAAAAAAAGAGAGAGAAAAAAAAACAGAATAGATGTAAAAGCTATGGGCGCTGGTGGTAATCAATAGCGTCGGGTGCGACTCCAGAGTTTGAGGGAGCCCCAGGAAGATCTAGGGCCTCCGAAGGGTGAGGCCGGCCTCTGGCCACTACCGGCAAGGAGAAATTCCTCGACCGCGGAGGTGAAATTTGATGCTGGGGTGAAACTGCCTGTTCACGGATTTCATCGTCGTTTCGGCTTTGGAGGGAAAACACGGATGCCTGGGCGAGCGGAGGTAGCACCGGAGGCTGTGATGGAATGGAGGAACCGAGGTACACAACGTCCGTCTTGGTTCGGAAGAGGAATGGATTCCTTGGCAAACGGCCTGTCCAGCTCGGTGCAAGAGGCGGAACTGGAGCGTCACCGCCGAGAGAGGTTGCCAAACGAGGCGTGAGCATGCGAGTGAGGTTGTGGCTCAATGTGCTCTCGCTGGATGAGATGCTCTTGGACATGAGGTGAGAGCCGCCCTTGCACTCGGAAGAGCTCTGAGACGGCTTTGTTATCCTAGGCAAGGCTTTTAATATGGCATAACTTGCCAACAGGTGACAATGACACTTACCCCGTAACGCGGGTGAGGAAGCCGCTCGAACTAGCTGTCTGCGTCGCACTTCTGTCTGGATCATACTCGTTGTGCAAGTTGAGCCAAATCTTGCCGAGACCAAAGTAGAGCAAAACAATGCGATATGAATTGATTGCGTCTTTGGTCATGCCAAAGAAGAGAAAGATGGGAACGGCGGTAAAGATGGATATGTACCCGTTGTTGAGACTGCCAAAGTCGTTGAATCGGCTAGGTATGAATATAATGGTTTCCCATGGTAGAGAAGTCTTTGAGTGATGAATCTCGTTAAAGTTGAACGGTCGTAAAACTCCCAGAGCCTGGACATTGAGGAAGCACAGAGTGATTGTGATCGGGAGGAACGGAACGAGGATGGACGTGACCATGAGGTAAAGGCGGCGTTTGGTTCGTTGACTTCGCAAGAATGCAGCGCGGCTGCTAGCTAGGGCCGAAGAAGTAGCTTTGGCTACTTGACGGAATCGGAAGAAAGTTATGACTAGGAAATGTGTTGGTTGGGGGCTTGTTTTGTAAAGCGAGGTTTTGCTCCAGCATGGACTTACCAGCGTAGATGCCAGCAACCACCGAAACAACGAGCTGAGCGATGATGAAGAAGACTAGATATGGCCAGCTCGAAGAAGGCACCCAAGCGCATCCCATCAGCGTGCCGACAGCGTAGCGCTGGGCGGCCAGCGGCCAGGTAAAAGCCAGCTGCACCATGGGCAGGGGAAAGATGATGAGCGCCTGGATGAAGTTGCGGCGCCTCTTCTCCCGCACCGTCATCGGGTGCGCGCGCATGACGCCCACCTGGTGGGCGAGGTTGCGCATAATGGCCAGCAGGCAGGTGACGTAGATGCCGGCGCAGCCATTGTACACAAACTGCTCAATGTCACAGAGGCCGTAGCCCGGCCACCACGCCTCCATGTCGTCGGTGTGCCAGAGGGCCGCCGTGACGATGGTGAAGATGTTTTTGATCTCGACGACGGTGATGAAGACGACGGCCGCAAACTCGCCGTTGCGGTACAAGAGTCGGAGCGGCACGAGGCAGACCAGGTTGGCCATGACGGCGAGGACGATGCGGAGAACAAAGTTGGCAGTGAGGGACGGGGTGGTAAAGGGCGGGATGTTGGGGACCGCCATGACGATTGGCGAGATGCCCTCCCTCAGGACAAGCGAGGAATTGTCCATGATTGTCTATGAAAGATGATGCGTTGAGTGGTTTTTTTGGCGAGATACGGGGTCGTGAAGCTGGAGTGGGAGCAGGGAGGAAGCAGATCAAGCAAGACCGAGGAGACTCAAATCGTCACCAGTCATTTGAGACAAGAAACAAGGGAAAGCTCCAAGAATGAGAAGAAAAGGAACAGACTGTTTGCTCAGATTGGAAAAGGTTTGGGGCCCGGCGCAGAGTGAAGTGATGGCCGCACAGCACCGCATCCTTATACATTGCGTGCGACTGGAAGAGACGGGGGACTTGTTTTAATTCACACATGGCAAAGCAATCAACGCAGGTAAGCGGGAGCTGAAGACCCCTCCCCCAGTGTATAGTCACATTCTCTGAGACGAAAATAGCGAACAAAAAAGAACCTCAATAACACGAGGACGAGTTGTGGAGTGTGCGGGATGATCCCCCTTGGTGGCACATTGGGGGCCCTTTCTCATCGTCGCAGATCAGGCACAACTCCCCGACGGCCAAGCCCGATGACTGACTAGCCTCTATAGAGAGCGTTCTGCAGTCAATTGAGACACACACCTCACTAGTTCAACAAGAACAACAACACTCGCTGAAAAGAGGCCCCCCCCCCAGATGTGGCGTCCAACTGCCGACAAGACGAGGTTGGCGGGCAAGACGAGTTGATATGGGTTTCATGCCCAGGATGGCTGATGACGGATTCTGCAACGGGCCATCCCGGAGGCGTGCGTTGGCCATGTTTGAGCGGAAATGCAGGTCGTGGGCTTGTTCAAAAGGGCTGCTCAATGTGTTTAAGCGCGATCCTATTGATACCCAAAAAGGGTAATTCCAGAGGCCGGAGCGGGAAGTGGGTCCGAGACAAGTCGGTGCTTTCTTGTCCAACGTTGTTGTTGTTGTGGTGAGAAAATTCTTTTTGTTAGACCAAGTCAAAAGAAAGGAAGAATAGACTAATTATCATCATAGTTACTGTATCTGGTTTAATTCAGATCTTGGCGTGGGGGAGACTTTAGTGCGGTTGAAGCAAAAGCCGTGTCGTACTATCGGGGGAACGAGGCAAGGCAAGTCAATGAGGGCTGTCCCCCCCTCCCCAGCACGGCCCAAGTCAGACAGACTGCAAATCATTCCCGAGTGTGGTGCAGCAGAGCTTTTTCATTGAAGGATTTGAAAGATTGTGTGTTTTATTCGCGTTTCTCAGCTCCCAATACGACAAACCCTGACCCTCGAGCTGACTTGGAGCCTGTACACGGTGAGACCGGCGCAAAGGCCGGGGTGCAGAAGAAAGAACGCCGCATCTAAAAAAAAAAAAAAAAAAAGGCTGCGTGATGACGCTTGTGCAGACATCTGCCGGCTGAGCAATGATGGGGGCCGCCGTATGGTCATCCCGAGTCTGGGATGGACGAGTTGATCCATAGTTATCTTTGTAGATGGTATAGCGATTGGCGGACATCAACTTGTGTAACTTGGTCAAGATGGTGTTGCAGAACCGTAACTGTATCTGGTACCTAGCATGCATGTACTTAGCATATTCAACACTGCTGATTTGATTACTCTAGTCTGACTTGAAATCTAGAGTCGGCGCTGGCTTGGTCAAAAGCCGGCCTTGACGGCTCTTGGTGCCCCGAATCGACTATATTATCAGCCATGGAGCGAGACAATGGCGCTCAACGGTCTGGAAAAACTTTGCGCCTTTTGCATCGCAGAGATCCCATCTAGAAATCTGTATCGAGTATTACCAATCTCAAATTTCTTCTGCGAGCTCAGTGTTGACGTAGCACCGGATACAAGCAAGCCTCTGCCAAGCAGCTGTACGACCTCGATCAACGGGGGCTTATTTAAAGCCTGTAATGCACCCGCATGAACAAGTATAGAGTTGGCATGAATCTGATCATCTCGCGCTCTGCATTGTGTGGGCGGGATGCATTGTCTTTTAGAACCTTGAGCAGCAAGGGCAACTCGTTAGAGCAGTACATGACCAGTACGCAAATCTCTCACCTATAATCAGGTACCACTTACAAGTCCAACTTTAATTCAGCACCCCCCCTTACATTAGCATAACCAATCAGCGTGTCTTCATGCCCCAGGCCTAATCTATTTCGCAAACTTCGCGTCTCAGACGCGATCCTGCGCCCCTCCTTTGGCCAGCATTTGCGTCCTCAGGCTAAGGTACTTTACATCAATCGGTCTCAAATCCTGCCACTCACCCCAGATCAAGATCATCATCACCATTCAACATTCATTTGCATCCTGTCGCATACCATCTTCAATACCCCCCCTCTCTCTCTTCCACAAAACCAATCCGCCCGACAAAAAATGTCTTCTTTTCTATTCCGTCGCGCCGCCGCCCCTGCGGCCTCTGCCGCCCGCGCCTTTAGCACCTCGTCGCCGCGCTCCGTTGCCCGCATCACCATTGTCGGCAACCTCGCCGACACGCCCGAGGTCGTGACCACCAACAGCGGCCGCGAGATCATCAAGTACGCCGTCGCCAGCAACTCGGGCTCCCGCGAAAACCGCCAGACTTCGTGGTTCCGCGTCACCAGCTTCGCCGAGGGTCCCCGCAAGGATTATCTCCTGACACTGCCCAAGGGGTACGTGCATCTGTCCAAGAGAAAAACAGAAATACTTTTGGGAAAAAAATCCGTCCATTTACTGACGACGAGATCCTTATAGTACCAGCGTCTTTGTCGAGGGTGACGCCAGCACCGGCACTTACCAGGACAAGGATGGCCAGACTCGCAACAGCTTCAACATTGTTCAGCGTACGTATAAACTTTTACATACCTACTCCTTCAGAAATCGCGATTCGAGCCTAGGAATATGAAACTAATTGTCTACAGGCAACATTGAGGTTCTCAGACGCCCTCAGTCCCAGAACGAGTAAACGCCTCCGTACCAACTGGATGGCTTTGGGCTAGCGAAGCGCATTTCTTACGTGCCATGTTGCGCAATGCAGAGCGCTTGTGCGGCAGTGTATAACTCCCCTTCCGAGGTCAGAGGACGGTGGCGCATATGTTTTTGTTGTCAGGGATATGTCAATTCTCTACATGTCTAGCACATCTCGAGTCTGTGTCGGAGGTGTCCAATGCTACTGTATGCAGTCCAAACATGGCGTGCTCTTCATCCTGCGCGTGTAATATAATAAAAGGCCACAACTACTTGAATTCTATCCCAAAAGCAGAACCGTCCACCCACGCTTTCTATGGTGTACTCCTTCTTGCACGCCTAGATTGCTATCCTCGAAACATCTCTAGACAAGACGACAGCTGTCCATGCAGCCGAAACCCGCTGCTACGCCGCCCTCTTCGCTCTTGTCTCCCTTGGTACGCAGCAGATACCCCGCCTGTTCATTGTGATGTATCTCGTCCGTCTTCTGGTCCCACAAGCAGGTGCCGTAGATGCCGAGCTCGCAGATGACGCCACCCTTTTCCACATTGCCGTTGCGCAAAATCAGGTTCGACACGGGCGGCGGCGTGATGAGCTCCATCAAAATGTACGAGCTCCAGTGCGCCTCGGGTATCGACTCGAGGTACGCCGGGATGGCACCTCTGTAGATGTTGTGGCCGCCACCTTCGCGCTGCGGCTTCAGCACGTACGCCTCGGCCAGCGCCGGGTCGAGCGCCTTCTTGCGCGCCTCCAGGCCCGCGGGCGACGTATCCATGGGGTATATGTTGGTAAACGTTTTGGACAGCTCGGCGACGTGGTCGGCGGGGGCGGCCTTGATAAATTTGCCCAGGACGGACGGCTCCGAGGGGGGCTGCGGCGTGGCCAAGACTTGCTGCACCTTCTTCGTGCCGGCCAGCTGCGTCAGCACCGTAGGGCACTTGATGGCGGACGATCTCTCAATGTGGTAGCGTGCATCCCACGCGTCCTGGTCAGGGAAGTCGCTAGGGTCGTACATGCCGCGCAGATAGACGACGGCGACCTCGTACGTCTTCTCGGGATTCTGCGGTAGGTGGTAAAGGAGCTGGCGCTTAGGCGTGTCGGCAATGGATGTGTGCTTTTTAATGTTGGAGAAGGTCAGTCGGAAAAGAGGCACCTCGGGGGCAACTTCGGCAAGACGGTATTCGAGATGGCGCTGGTCAAAGACGTTGCGTTCACCATCCTGTACCAGGAAAAGTATGCACTTTGCGTGACCCAGCTCAGAAGCAGGGTATGCGTAAAAAGCCGTTTCTATCCCAGCTGCCAGGCCGGGGATGCTGTTGTTTGATGGAAGCTCCATCATATCAGTAGGGATGGCATTCTTCAACAGAGGGTACTCCCTCGTGGAGAGGTATCTACGCAAGAGATCAGCATAGTTCAAGGGCTCGCTGGCGAATGTGTCATGAGACTTGCTTGTGTAGACGGGATGTATAGTATGAGAGACCGCCAAATGAAGCAGCGATGGTGTTGAACTCAACTTGCTTGACCTGGAATGTGGGCGAGCTTGTCGTATTGTCTTGATGTACCATGTAGTCGGAGCGAAAAATGCCCAGCGACAGAGACTATGGCGTATGAGAATATGATTCATGATCAATGTAGTCTGAGGCTCACCTGTGTGTATCCTTCAGCCTTGACCTTTTGGTGAACGGTCCACAAGTTCTTGATAAACTCATCGCCTTCAATGACTCTGGTCCACATTAGCTGCCGTATTATAAGTGTACTTGATAATGATGCACGCACTGATTAACAGTGTCTTCGATGAACTGTTCGTTGCTGCTCACAGCGGCATAGAGCTCGTTATAGGTAGTCTGCACCCCGAGGGCTTGGGCAAAGCACTGCCGGGGAAATGGACTAGGAAACAGCGTCACCGGCGCATTAATAGAAGCAATGCCCTTGGGATCGGCCTCTGCAGAAATAACAGTCGGCCGAGGCCGAACCACCAGACCGTTGCCTGCAGACCAGTCACTGATGGTGTTGACCAGATGCTCCGTCTCTTGTGCAGAGAGCGATGGCGGGTATGCCGCACTCGTCAGGCAAGACATGTCGCAAGGCACGGTTCTGACCCAAGTCAGAACTAGAACTCTGGTAGGAGATTCAGACTGGAAATACACTGATAGTTGGGCACAAAATTTAACCAACAGATTCTAACGCAGGCCAAGAGCTGAACGGTAAGAAGATTCCATTGCGGTGCCGGAGCAGCTTATTAATCGCGAATTCGCTCACCTCCGCAAATAGTGGCACCGCCGCTTTGCTCACTAGTTGGTTAGAGATCGATCTGACGAATTCGGCATCACCAAACTTGGAGGCGCAAAGAGTTGTACGCCGCACGAGTGAGATGAAAATGAATTTGCTACTTGAAAGAAGCAATCGAGATAAAGAGACCGCGTCTTTTCGCTGCAGAACCTGCCTTGACGTTGTTTTATACCCCAACCCTTGTCTGGCCAACCAGAAAAATACATATGCTTTGGCTGTCCTTACTTCAAGTAGGTAGCGAATTATCATTAACATTATTAGCAGCCTCATAGTGCCTTGATAATGCATAACTGCAGATGGAGGACCCAGAACCCCTTATTAGGTACCTAGTTATTAGGTCCTGACACGCCTGGCGCGTTGCAGCGCGCAAAATTGAAAAGAATGATGCACCGACCCACTAAAATTACAAACTGGATTCAACGTGCTAACCTACCTTTGCGCATGCAAGATACGTCTCTGGCCATCACATTGATGCGGCAAATGATTGTTTTCGAGTGAGGGTGCTACGTTGTGTTCGCTGTTTGTATGTATGTAAATTGCGAGTATCAGTTGTCAGGCGAGCAAGAACGCCAGAAGTGTCAGCTGGTCAACCCCTGCAGCAAACGCCGAAAGTCACTGCATCTCCAATTCCTACTCCCGCAGCATCACTCCAGCCAAGACGCCACGCTCCCCATTTCTTATTGAGCCTTTATCGACGCTGCATGGTCTTGCGATGATCCGAAGCTCAGTCTCACATCCTCGAGTCGCCCGCATCTCCACTACTTCTGTCTATTCGGCACCACCTCACTCATACGACAGCCTCCCATTGGACCTTTGCTAGAGAAAGACCTCACAGATGTAGAACGTACGTGGCGAAGGAGCTTTCTCGGCTGGCTCAACGCGACTTTTCTCTAGACTAACCGAGTGCAGGAATAGAAACAACCCCCTACAGCTGTCTCTCATTCGACCTAAAAGAACAGTATGGCGCTGCCCTCGCTGGAGGACCCCTTCCTCTGGGACTTGGACAGGGTCTGCAGGGAGCTCTGCTGTGATGGCGCCGAGTGGACTAGTGATGTATCGGCTTTTGAGTCACGTCTGCGCGAAAATCTCATGGATGGCGAAACTCTATTGACCTACGAACTCATTTTCTCGAGGAAGGAGCTCACGGAATGCCTGGGAGTTACAGCTGCCCGCCATCGAACCAAATTCTTCAGGAAGATTATGAACCTCCAAAAGCAAAGCCCGAGATTCCGTGCAGAAAAGCGCGCGATTGACAACGACGGTGTTCGTGAGACTTCTCCGCCTCCTCAAACAGCCACAGTTCCCATCGCATCACCACCACGACCCACGCCTACGATCACTCCTCCCACTATTGCCCAGACAAATGCTGTTGAGACTGCCCATTCCAAACCGTCAGACGAGCAGCCATCAACACGCCGTCGCTTGGTTCCTACTTTTGTGACAGACATACAACCCGGCACTGTAATGCCACGCATGCCAGGTTTTGAGGAGCTTGAGCCAGAGCCTATCCAACGGCCATATGCCGCTAGTGCTGCTTCGTCGATGGAGGATCTGCCTACCGCTTATCTGGGACAAAAGGCGGTAGCTGCAGAAAGCATTGTTCCTCTGGAGGTGAACTACGATTCCGACAGTGGCCCGGATACATTCTGTTCTGTGAAAGTGTCATCACAGCCGCGCGGGAAGACGCGGGCAATCTACTCCATAGTCAAGAAGTTTCTTCTCAAAAACGACAGAAAAGTTACCAAGCTCCAGTCGGGAACCAAGACCGTTGCTTCCTCCTCCTCCGGCCGCGACGTGGTCGATTTCGACGACTTAGCATCGCTAGACGAGGAAACTCTTCGTGAAATGGCGGACGAAGAAGACGAGAATAAACAGACTAGCTCTGCTTTACTGAGCTCAGAACGAGTGGAAACGATCATCAATGAGGAAATCACAAAATTTAAAACTAGGTGGGAAGAGAAGAAGCTCGATAAGCTGGAGAGAAAGGCGCATCGTCTATGGACGCAAGCCAGCAAACACGGCCAGCTACGAAAACAGGCCTTTGAAACGTGGCGCCAGGCAGGTCATTATCGCAATCGCCTGAGTGCATTAACTCGCGATTTAAGAGTTATGCAGTGGAAGCTTGAGGAAGAGCTGCGTTTTTCAGTGCAGATTGTCGAGCAAACGGTGGAAGATAAGCTGCATCAGGAGTGGCTCACGACCTTGTTCTCCTTGCGGAGTGCGCCACCGAAACCTTCACCTATTTCAACGCAGCAACGAACCTCTCAACGCAAAAGGTCTTCCATTCACAACGACGAGCTTTCCTCCAGCTCTGAAGAAGAATCATTAGAGGGTTTCATTGTTGCCGACGAGCCCGATTTCGCACCTGCGAGTTCTGCGCCATCTCCTAGCGCTCTCTCGCCAACTCTCCCACACAGCCCTCTGTCTTCCACCTACATGCCTACAAATAGTCGGCAGAATTCAGTCATCGATTTGACAATGACTTCTGATGTCGAAGTAGAAGGCGCAGAAGAGAGCATTGTGCCTCACTCGCTGAATCCTTTCACACAGGAGGGGCTGGCAGAAGCCGGTGGCAAAGCTCCGAAAGTCTGGGCAAAACAAAATGATCGCTTTCGCCTGGCAATCTCCATGCTGTGGAAAATGGGCTTCGAGAGACGCGACGCCGTGTTTCAGATTCTTGCTGGATCAACCATTTCTGACATTTGGCTGGATTTGATCAGCCAAGCTCATGACAGGCTTCTCGACGATAGCCACAGACTCATTGATGCAGCTTCCGATCTGATGCGCATCTACTGGAGCTTCGTGAGATGCAAGTATTTTACAGAGCAGAAGTGTTTGAAATTGAGCCAGAAGGACCTCGACAAGTTCGAGGACTCGGAGAAATTATTTCCTCCATTTTGCGGTTTTCTTGCCGAGATTAAAGACGCGTTTCCTCAGCGCAACCAGATCGCCCATCTTGGCGACGACGACGACGACGACGACGAGCTCGTTGAGCTAGACGAGCTGCCAGATGATGCCGGCTCCCGGTCGGCTACGGCTAAGAAGAGCAAAAAGAAGGAAATAGTCCTCGATAAGAGCGGTGTCGAACTCCGCGAGCGTGCGGCTCGCGACATGAAAGAACAAGAGAAGCGGCGAAATGAGTTGAGAGCGGCCATGCGATACACCAACACATACGATAGCGCTTCCGCCCGTTCGCCACGATTTATAATCAACGAATCCAAAGCGAACGATCAGGGGTTCATTTATATCCACCCGGAGATTTCTTCCCGCATCAAAGAGCATCAGATTGAAGGTGTTCGATTCCTTTGGAACCACATTGTGCGCGACTCTAGTGAGCGCCAGGGCTGCTTACTAGCCCACACCATGGGCTTAGGCAAGACAATGCAAACCATCACATTTCTAGTTGCATTGCGAGAGTCTGCACTATCGGATGACCTCACAGTGCGTGATCAGATTCCCCAAGATTTGCGCGATTGGAAAGTCTTGGTCCTTTGTCCCTCGGGTCTGGTCGAGAATTGGAAAGATGAGTTTCTTATATGGGCTCCTAAACATCTAATGGAGGCGATATTTACTGTTGAGGCAGTGCACTCACCTCTTCAAAGAGTCGAGAACGCCAAGGAATGGGCCGTTCGGGGAGGCATACTGATCATTGGATACAACATGTTCAAGTCTGAGTTTCGAAAGGGTAATGAGAAGACGGTTACTGTTGATCGCATCCTCGTCGAAAATGCAAGGGTAGTCATCGCAGATGAGGCTCACAGCCTCAAGAACCCGAAGACAAAAATCACACAAGTCGCTTCAGACTTGAAGACAAGCACAAGAATCGCCTTAACTGGCTCACCGCTGGCCAACAATGTCGAAGAGTATTACGCAATGATCAATTGGGTTGCTCCGAATTTCTTGGGTCCACTGCAGGAGTTTCGCGACATGTACGCCACGCCTATTCACCAGGGCCTGTACAATGACTCAACTCCCTACGAAAAGAGAAAGGCCATCAAGTTACTTCAGGTCCTCAAGACAACTGCGGCCCCAAAAGTCCACCGCGCGACCATGAAGTCGTGTTTAAAGGACGAGCTTCCGCCAAAGGAAGAATTTGTCATTTCGGTCCCGCCGACTGAAATACAGCGCAAGCTGTATGACCTGTACATGCAGGCTACTCATAACAGCGGGGACAAAGTTGAACAAGCTACCTTGTTCGGCGTTTTAAACCATTTGGCGCTAATTTGCGCTCATCCAGCCGTGTATCGCAAGCATGTCATCGAGCTCAGAAGGAAGGGCGAAATGGGAAAAGATGTGGCAAGATTCCCCATGGATACGATACCTCAGATCATGAATATGACCAGCGACCCAGGTCTGGGTCGTGTCGAGCTTTCGTACAAGGTTGAGCTCCTGAATAAAATTCTAGACCAATCAAGTCGGATGGGCGATAAGGTTTTGGTTTTCAGTCAGTCAATTCCGACGCTCGATTACCTGGCCAAACTGTTTGGAAGCCAGAAACGACGCTTTTGTCGCCTTGATGGTTCAACTCAGATATCAAAGCGACAAGACATGGTCAAGAGTTTCAACAAGGGCTCTGAGGAAGTCTATCTGATTTCCACCAATGCGGGTGGTGTTGGTTTGAACATCTTTGGCGCAAACAGAGTTGTCATCTTTGACTTTAAGTATAACCCCGTTTCTGATCAGCAAGCCATTGGTCGAGCCTACCGCATTGGTCAAACAAAGCCTGTTTTCGTGTATCGTTTCGTTGTCGCTGGTTCTTTCGAGGATGATTTACAGAACAAGGCAGTCTTCAAGATGCAGTTGGCATCCCGAGTTGTGGATCAAAAGAATCCCATCAGCTGGTCAAAGCGAATGTCGAACCTTCTGCACCTCATTCAAGATGTCGACGCCACAGAGTCCCGTTTTGACTTCAAGGGGAAAGATGCCATTCTTGACCACCTCTTAGATCACGACGAGGGCCGGGCTATCCTTTCGATCATGTCTTCTGATGCATTTGAAGAAGAAGACGAGACGGCAACGCTGACAGCTGAGGAGCGGCAGGAAGCAGACAGCATGGTTGAAAGGCACAGGCTAAGGATGACGGACCCGGACAAGTACGTGCGAATGACGGAGGCAGAGCGGGTTGTGAGCAACCAAAGACCTACATCGCACATTGCATCGAGCAAGCCGAACAAGGACTGGTTTCCGGAGCGGCCGGACCATGCTTTCGAGGCGACTAGTCATTACGGCTATATTGCTCCTCCAGCTGCGACAGTTTCATCGGGACCCATGCCTATCCTGGGAGCTAATACTTACTACGGCAACAGCGGCAGTTCCCAGGTCATGACGCCCAACTCCCCGATGCTACAAAGTAATACCGCACCTGTGTTTAGTGAGGTATCGTGTAGCGAGGCGCGCGATCAGTTTCAAGAGAAGCTGGCTTTTGCGCTTCGGGCACTCGAGTCGCACCATAATTTGCGGTTTGGCGCAGATTCGAAATCGGTGTGTATTACCGACGAAATTGAAGCCGAGCGACTCAGTCAGAATAAAGGAGTGGCAGCAGATACACTTTGGTGGAACAGTCTGACTAGAAAGCTCGGCAACAAGAAGAATCTTCTGGCGATAGCATCGGGACAGGTTTCGGCAAAGTTCATGGGTAAAAGTCCCGAGAGCGAGATGCAGAGCCGATTTCGAAGCCTGGAGGTTATGTCGGACGATTTTTTCTTAAGCAACATTCAGATGGGGGGCAAACCGAAAGACCCCGAGGTACGACAAGCAAATCAAGAGCACACGGTGCAGCTACACAATGAAGAAAGCAAAGACTGACTGAATTTGACGAGAAAAGAGCCTTTCGAACATCATGCGGTCGCCGACTCGATGGATTGATAATACTATTAACAAAGTACAGGCAAGGGAGGACGCGCGGGTGATGCGGCGGGCAGCAGAGATTCGAGGCGGCGTGCGAACCGACGACAGACGAGACGAAGGAGGGCCAGACCTTCCATCGTGGGCGAGCAGAGTTTTGGGCGGTACGGGCGGCCAAGGACGACTGGCAGAGAGCTTGCTAAGCAGACGAGTGCAAGGATGAGGTTAAACGAATTGCTTGTGGAGGGAGTTTTGGAAAGATGGAGCGGTTCTGGAAAGGGCAGTTATGCTCCGAGAGAGATTGAGGAGCGTGACGCGTGGATGAGGAACAAATTGGCGTTTGGGCAGATTTGGGCAGATTTGGGCAGATATTTGAAGAATACCATTCGGAGGGAGGAGGGAAAGCGCTTGCGGCAGTTGATATACCTGGCTTATTTAGCAATGACAGCAATGGATTTGATCCGGGGGGGTTAGAGAGTGAGAGCTGTGAGTGAGTGGTGCGTACTAGTATTCGTGTCACGGCACCGGTACATGGCGCCGTGTTTACGGCCGATGACGCTGAAGCGTCATTAGTTGACGTGAGCCATTTGTCGGAGCCAATGGAGCCTAGGGTATTCAACATTTCCCCGGACGGTTGGCGGTTAGTGCGAGGCGGTAGGCTGCGTTACATGCATGTCGGAGTGCCGCCTTAAGTCAATTAGGTGGTCGTGGGAGTATATGTTCATGTGCCCCGTAAACAATTCAATTTGGGTCGATATTTGAGAAAACTTGTAATATGCTAGTAGACGCCCTTCACCGTCACTATGAGAGAAAAAGGCTCACTCAAAAACATTCGAGGTGTTGTCCGAAAACTGTTTCGGGTGGAGACCAGACCCAGGCCGAGTCCGGAGCGGCACCGCCGAAGAGCACGCCGAACAGCGAGCCAGCGCCGGAGTGACCCGCTGCAAGGTGCTGCTGGCCAGTGGCCATGGCGCTGAAGAACTCGGGAGCGGCCCAAATTACAGGGCATCCTGCCAGTGCCAGTCCAGTGTCCAGGTGTCCAGGTGGTGTCTACCTAACCCACATCTCGGAGAAAGGTAAAGAGACCCAGATGTGCCTGAGCCACACACCACGCCATGTCGGATTACAGATACCCGTACACGGCCGCGCAAAGTTGGAGATATTTTCCTGCTGGGTATTACCCGGGGGACTGGTATTATTGGTGGCGCACAAGAACAAACGCTGCACGCTCAGCCAGTCAGAGCGCTTCGAATTCGGAACACGCAGCTTACGAAAAACTAGGGCCACCGGCACTACTGGGTTCCGCCGCCATTTAAAAACGGCGCTAGCTGTACTTGGTACAATGGCGTTCCCGCCGCTGGCACCAAAAAGTCAAACTACTGTCTGCCCGTTTCGCCTTTTTCTTCCGCTGCCTTCTTCTCTCTTTTCCATTCTCATCTGACTCGACGACGATCCGCTCTTATTTGTCCCCTTTTCTCTTCATCTTTTTTTTCTTTGCTTTCCCGTCATACGCCCGTTTTCATTGCGTGAGGCATATGATTTTCTAGCACAATACCTTCCAAATCTGATTAATAAAAAAAAAGAATTGCCCCTCGCACGCACCCCTCCTTCAGGCCCTGAGAGACTTGTTCTGATCAGTGCTGCCCGTCTACGTGTCCAATTCAACAGAATTCGTCATCGACCTGCGCCGTCACCGATTCACTCTCTCTCTCACCATGGATAGCGTACTTCGTCAGTCCAAGGCCATGTGCCCTTTCCTCAAGGCTGCCTCCCCTGCCACCCTCCGCGCCATGTCGGCCACGGCCCGCCCCCGGCCATCGTCGCCCTGCGGCGGCACCATGTCCAAGCTGCAGGTCTATGCCCATCGCTGCCCCGTCATGGGCAAGGCCCTCGCCGTGCAATCGTCCAAGTATGCCTCTCTTCCGGCCATCCGCGCCTTCTCCGGTCACGCCAAACCCGCCCGCGCGAGCATCCACACTAGCCGCAACCAGGAAGCCCGCGCCGTTGAGACGCCTTTCCTCAACGGCCGTGACAATGGTACGAGTGAACCTAGACACCAAGTCCCATGCTCATACGACACCAATCGCACGCATTTCATACTAACATGCTCAACAGCAGCGCCCGTCCCTCCCAGCATGCCGTTTCAGCGCAAGGACGCCACTGCCGCCGCCGCCGCCGCCGCCGCCTGCCCGAACCACGGCGCCAAGTTCAACTACGACGGCTTCTACACCAACGAGCTCGACAAGAAGCACCAGGATAAGTCATACCGCTACTTCAACAACATCAACCGTCTCGCCAAGGAATTTCCCCGCGCCCACATGGCCAACAAGGAGGAAAAGGTTACCGTCTGGTGCGCCAACGACTATCTCGGCATGGGACGCAACAAGGTCGTTCTTGACAAGATGCACGAAACTCTAGACGAATACGGCGCCGGTGCTGGTGGCACTCGCAACATCTCGGGCCACAACAGGCATGCTGTCGAGCTCGAAGGTACCCTGGCCAAGCTGCACGCCAAGGAGGCTGCTCTCGTCTTCTCCTCTTGCTACGTCGCCAACGATGCCACGCTGGCTACTCTCGGCAGCAAGCTCCCCGACTGTGTCATCCTGTCCGACAGCCTGAACCACGCCTCGATGATTCAAGGTATTCGCCATTCCGGGACCAAGAAAATTGTCTTCAAGCACAACGACGTTGCCGATCTCGAGGCCAAGCTTGCGTCGCTTCCTCTACACGTGCCCAAGATTATCGCTTTTGAATCCGTCTACAGCATGTGCGGCTCTATTGGCCCCATTGAAGCCATCTGCGATCTTGCCGACAAGTACGGCGCCATCACGTTCCTCGACGAAGTTCACGCCGTCGGCATGTACGGACCGAGCGGTGCCGGCGTCGCCGAGCATCTCGACTGGGAGGCGCACAAGGAGGGCATGCCACGCGGCACCATCATGGACCGCATCGACATTATCACCGGCACTCTGGGCAAAGCTTACGGCTGTGTTGGAGGATACATTGCCGGTAGCTCCAAGCTTGTTGACATGATTCGTTCGCTGGCCCCTGGCTTCATCTTTACCACCTCTCTACCTCCGGCGACAATGTCCGGCGCCAAGGCCTCGATTGAGTACCAGATGGAATACGACGGCGACCGTAGACTGCAGCAGCTTCATACCCGCGCCGTCAAGGAGGAGATGAATGCGCGCGACATTCCCGTCATACCAAACCCGTCTCACATCATTCCCATTCTCGTCGGCAATGCCGCCCTGGCCAAGGCTGCCTCGGATATGCTACTTCAGGACTACCAGATTTACGTGCAATCCATCAACTACCCAACGGTTCCGGTGGGCCAGGAACGCCTCCGCATCACGCCCACTCCTGGACACACCAAGGAGTTCCGCGACGAGCTGGTGGCTGCCGTGGACGAGATTTGGACCCGACTTGGCATCAAGAGAACTTCGGAGTGGGCGGCTGAGGGCGGCTTCATTGGTGTCGGCGAAGAGGGCGTTTCCGAAGAGGCCCTGTGGACCGACAAGCAGCTTGGCATTGAGCAGGCGAGAAAAGAGATGATGGCAACTGGACAGGTTCAGAACGGCACAAGCTTCACCGAAGCGCTGCTCAAGCGCGAGTCGGCTGGTGCTCAGGCTACTGGCGTGGCCGCCGCTTAGAGGCAGGACGATTGCATGCACGACTGCACGACTACACTACTGCATACCCTGCATTGGCTGGTGAAGCGGTCCAACCTCATTTCCATTCTATCTGGATGTGTGCCGATTTCCTCGGTAATATATCTGCCCCTCGTTTTGATCGAACTTTTTTGATAGCCGCTAGGCTTGCGTAAGCTCAAGCAGTTGAATAAAACATGTGATGATGCACCAACTGCATCCTCCGTTTCAAGACTAGAATTTGATTCTGCCTAGTGACGTGACGTAGACGTAAATTGTTGGGTGCACGTTTGTTGCTGATGTGTCCTCTTTCCTTTTCCCAAATATCCTCGGCATTTACTAAACCAATTGGATGGTTGTTGTAGCTAGGGACGGATGGTCTGATACAAGTGCGGGTTAAGGAACGGGCTAAGCAACTCAGCCCACGGCCATGTCGCGTTTGCCGAGTCTGGGGAAAAAGAATGGGCTGATTGCCAATGACAGCCTAGGTACAGGCTACAGGTACGTAGCGAATTTGCACCAAAACGTCAAAGCTGAAGGGCATTCGTATTCTAATTTGATAATTAGGCAACATGTTTTGGGTTTGTGGCTGCCTGGAGTTTTGTAGGTCTAGACGAGTTGCATCCCTGCGGCGTCTGTGGTACAACCTCTGGAGTCTAGCTGCATGGATATTTCTGGAAAAAAACAGTCCCGTACGAGTCAGTCAAGGCCGGTTATAAGCTGGGTGAAGAACAGACCCGATGAGGGAGGGGAAGGGAGGGGGGAGGGAGGGGGGGGTTGAGGGGGGGGTTTGGAAGCTCGGCTTGACTGGCGCGCCACAACGGAGTGGCAACCTGACAAGCCAAAGGGTTCAGCAACGGCGACACCAATCACACCATGTCACCAAGTGACAATTGCGCGCGAGGCTATTAGCCGAATGATTAGTGGCAAGTAAGCTAATTTGGTAAACTGGGGGAAGAGTGGCAAGTCAATTTGGTGGTGGGAGGCAGCAGGCATGGCAGGCAACCCCAGAAAAAAAAAGGAACCTTTTGCAACCCCCCAGAAAATGAGCAACGGGCATAACTAACGAATAGCCATGGCAGCGGATGTGCGGGCCAATTCAGTCCTCCGTTACCGAGGAACGACCCTACTATTCGTATGGTTTGCCAGGGCTGCCAGGCTGCCAGAGCCTACGAATGGTTCAGCCCTTTACCAAGGTACGCACAAAGGCTAGCCAATCTAGCATGTTTTTTTGGTTCATCTCACGCCGTTTCGACGGTTCTCGGTTCATGGGTTTTTGTCCAACGAATAAACAGAGATTCGAGGAAAGTAGGACGACGGTGGCGGGCCCTGAGATTCATCCGTACTGGCACCAACAGAAAAGTACAACCAACCACGACACGGGTTTCAGAGACCTTTTATTTTTTTTTATTTTTTATTTTTTATTTTTTCCTGTTCTTCTACAAATTCCCGATAACCCTATCACGTCGTTTTGACATTGCGACAATCGTGCTTCTCATCAGTCTGTAATTGTCCAATCTGGGGAAAAGGCGGGTTCGGGGTCGCAGTAGCCCGGCATACCGTTAACTTTGTTTGCAGTTGTACTGTACTGTACCAACTTACCGTCACAATCGTCCACCACACGCGCGCAGCAAATTCTTCTCTTGTACATCCAGGGCCAAACTTAAAATAAAACGGCATATCCGCGTGGGGAAACATACCCAGTCGCCCTGTACGGGGATTTTAGTTACGCTATCCCGTGCATTACATTACAGTACATGCGCTTCCTTCAGCCGTCCACGGACAAGTGGGCTTTTACACATACACACAACGTTGCCTGATTTTTTTCCCCCTTCTTTACATTTCTGCATTGGTCTATTATTATTATTTGATTTTACCATCAACATCGGCATCTCCGACTCAACTCGACTCTAGACGCGGTTTCTCAATTCCTGACCTCTTCCTCTTTGCGACATTGCGCTGGCCGCTGCCATCCAAAGAGGCGACCATTCACTTTCCTCTCATTCTTCGGCTCACTGCCCCAGACAAATGTCGCCTGGACGCGGCCCATAAACCACCCCGTCTCATATCACATACAGCGGGAGCTCACAGCTCACCCAACCCACGCATCTGCTCGGCATCGGCCACCGCCCAACCCAACGCAACCCCGGAGCAGGAGCAATGCAGACTGCGCAAAAGGGTCCCAAGGCCTGCACGACCTGCGCAAAAGCAAAAGCGCGATGCATTCCCGGCAATTCAGACGCTGACAAGTGTGAAAGGTGAGTTGTTCCTACAGGAAACCTTTTTTTTTTTTTTTGTTGAGTTGCTTTGTTGGCTATCACATGTCAAACAAAACTTGCGCGGTGGGCTGAGCCCCTCTCTCCCATCACTATCACCTATAGGCTACAGGGGGGCCGGGGTTCCGCGATGGCTAGTAAAGTCGCCAGGGGGGGGGATGAGACAAATCAAGCTAAACGAGGACATTATACGGATACTGACTTTTTTCCCCCCTTGTTGGGATGGTGCAGATGTCAGAGGTTGAACAAGGAATGCTACTCGCGCCCGCCGGCGCCACCGCGCATCAAGAAGCGGCCCAAGAGATCGCGGGTCGCGGAGCTGGAAAAGAGACTGAATGAGCTGTCGTCTCAGGTCGGCCAGGGCCACGCCCGGCTGCCCACGCCCGAGGACGCGGCCACGTCGGAGCGGGCCACGTCGAGCGCCAAGACGGTCCGCAGCGGCGACCTGCAGAGCGATTTGGTTGAGATTGTCAACCTGCAGCACTGGTTTCCCAACCCAGCGAGCTCGCCCGGCGCCGCCAAGGACAAGTCGCCCGCGTCGCCCGCCGGCTGGGAGGCCGAGGCCTTTCAGCACATGGAATCCATCTGGCCGCTGCCCGAGGACGCTGCCGCCCTGCTAGCCGAGTATCACGAGCTGTGGGCCGACACCTTTCCCTTTATCGTGGTGCCGCGCGACATGAGCTCCGAGGACCTGCGCGACCGGCGCCCGTTTTTGTGGAAGGGCATGATGCTGACGGCGTCTTTCTTCGACGCCGCGCGCCAGACGCGCCTCGGCGGCGAGCTGCTCTCCGACATAGCCCGCGCCGCTGTCGTCGAGGGCGTCAAGACACTCGACTTGCTCCAGGGCATGCAGCTGCTCATCGCCTGGTACCAGTACGCCGTCAAAGGCCACCAACTGACCAACCTGCTCTTCCTCGCGCGCTCCATGTGCGTCAACCTCAGCTCGCCCAGCTGCGAACCGCTACCCAGCGACGCGCGTTACTCCCAGCTGGACCCCCTGAGAGCCTACACTGCCACATACTATATGAATACAATGTAAGTCTGATCCGGGACTGCCGGATCTCTAAAAAAAAAAAAAAAAAAAACTGGCTCATATGCTAATCATTTGATACTACAGCGTCTTTGCGACAAATAAAAAGACGGACGTATTTATGAATACGTCTCACGTCGAACTCTGTCTGAAGACACTGGAAAACGCAGCAGAGTACCCCTCGGATGTGTTTCTCGTCAAACTCGTCAAATCGCAGCAAATTGCTCAAAATATTGCCCTAGCCATGTCGTTTGACCCCAGCCAGCCAATGCAGCTCCCCATCCCGGTGTTGGTGCAGTCTTTCCAGGATCAAATCAAGAGCTTTCGAGACACGTTGCCAAAGCATCTACAAGATGATCGTAAGTCAACCTTTTGCCCACTTGAACGACATGTACCCATGTACATCTTGCAGCGGTTCTCTCTTGCTAACAGCCCCTTTAGCGTCATTGGGTGGCCACCTGCTCATTTCTGAGGTACTGCTCACCGACATTGCCCTGTCAGACCAGCACTGCGGCCCCGCCAGCATGCCCGTCGAGACACGCCTCGAGATGCTGTGGTCGTGCATCCGCTCGCTGCGCGCCTTTTTCCGGGCGCGCTTCCTGCACCGCGACATTGACAAGCCGCGCTACGTCAACCTGACCACGTCGGACGTGGCCTACAGCCTCATCACTAGCATCAAGCTGCTGACGCTGCGGCTGCCCGGCTGGGACCCCAAGCAGGTGGCCGCGGAGCTCACCATTACCCACATGCTCCACTGGCAGATCAACGACCTCGCCCTCATCATCGAGAAGCGTCGCTCCGAGCCCACTGCCGCCGCGGCTGGCGGCGCCCCGCCCATTGCCGAGGACCCCTTTGAGCGCCTCCTCCGCCTGCTGTTCAACGCCCGCGAGCTGGTCAACCTGCAGTGCCACTCGGGCGATGCGCAGGCGGCGGCCGCGGCTGCCGCGGCGATGCCGGGGATTCCGGGCCCGCCGGGGTCCTCGCAGACGCTGCTGGGCGAGCTCGACGAGTCGGTGTGGTTTGACATTGTCAACGAAACGGCGTGGAACATGAATGACGAAATCATGTCGGGCTAGAAGAAAGCAGCGGCGTGTTCTGACAGGACACCATGTAAGAGCATACATATATACTTTGAGGCGATGGGATTTCATGAGCGTTTTCAAGGCATTTGTCGTTGAGGGTTTTCACAAGCGATTGGGAGTCGGCGTATCTTTGTAGTCGGTGTGGCAACACCACGTTTCAGGAGTTTTTGTGTTTTTCTTGGAGACGAATCGTCGTGTCTCGTCTACGTTGAATGAGATTTACCAGTTTAATATCTAGGCATCTTGGGTAGAAACAAGTGGTTTTACTCGTGTTTTTTGGTACATTTACTTGATCCAATCTAATTATAACAGCGTTGCCTTTGAAAAGCCCAACTACTACTACTACGCCTTGCCTTTCAAAGCTTCTCCATCATCCACGTGCACGCCCTGCACCCTAGCCAGCACCAGCCATCGCAGATCGCCCTTGGCCGTCGCCCTTTGAATCGAGTAGAGCTCATCCAGGAACGCGGGCACAAAGGTGCCCGGCCCGCGCACCTCGTCCCTGTCGACGGCGTACTGCGCGGCGATGCCAAACACGGCCGCAGCCGCGACGGTCGCGAGCAGCGCGTCCTGCGGATACGCGGCGACCATGGCGCTGACTGTGGTGCCGAGCGTGCAGCCCGTGCCGGTGACGCGGCCGAGCATGGCGTCGCCGTTGTCGACGCGGTACGTGCGCGCGCCGTCGCTGACAATGTCGGTCGGGCCGGTGACGAGTACGACGGTGCGGTGGCGGCGGGCCAAGGCGGCGGCGAGACGGGCGCGTGAGGGGACGGTGAGCTCAGAGGTTGAGTCGACGCCGCGCTGCTGAGGAGCAGCAGCGGAAGAGGAGGTCGATGAGGAGGAGGAGGAGGAGGAGTGCCCGTGCAGGGTTTGTATCTCGGCAACGTTGCCCTTGATGACGGCGAAGCGGCCGAGGGCGAGAATCTCGGCAGATGCGGCGCGTCGGATGGCGGTGGCCCCGGCGCTGCAAAGGCAAGGGGGTTAGCAAAGTCAGTAAAAGAATGAGGCCGGAGTGGGTTGGAGAGAGAGGAGGGGGGTA